AAGTTCTGTTATTGGAAACATCTCACCAAGCTGACACAATTCCCTTTATTGAAGAAAACCTAATAATAATAGAGCTGTGCTGACCTCCACGCTCGGTATACTTCCCTACTAACAAAGACAGACATTAATATGCCTGTGGTCAAGAGTGAGAAAGATCAGAAGAGCAGACAAGGAATTAAGATACCCTGTAACTCCATTTCAGGCATGAAACCGCCCCGAGCCTTCAAACAATTTGTGTGACCGTCTGCCTTGTGTCCCTGCCTAATGCAGGGCAACGGCCCCTTAACCAGGTCAGAAAAGGTTTCAAGGGCTCTGGATGGGAAGCAGAAGGAAAATCCCTTATGTTATAGGCAATACAACGTTGGGGCTTGGTGATATTTATTTACTGTTCCGGAGAACACAGAGAATAAAAGATCCTTCTGTGTGCTGTGTGAGCAGTTCATGATGACAGAAAGTCGTGCTGTGGCCCATGTGGTGTCAGCACTAGCCTGAGGGAGATGAATGGGTGGCTGTGGGTTTCCTAATAAATAAATAAATATATATATATATATACTCACACATCTGTGCCCCGGACACCTCAAAAAGACATCGTTGCTTTCCCCCTGAGGCCTGATGCATGTTCTCTGGACGCTGTTTTACTGTTACACAGGGCTCTATGGGAAAGCAGAGGCTGGGGACAGCGACAGGAATCTCCAGCTAAACCTGTGAGAGTTAGGCCATCTGGCAGCTGTCCCAGGGCAGCTGGGGTTGGACAGAGAAGGATACAGTGAGACAGAGCCAGAAAGATCTAAGGATCCTCAGCAAGGAAGCTCCGACGTCTCTTCTCTCCAGGGAGCAGGGCAGAGCCAAGCTAGCAGGGCTTAGAGGCACGAATGAATCTAGTTCCCAGCAGCAGAGCATGGTGAGAAAGGAAAATGACGATAGGGCTGGAGTGCTGGGAAAAAGTTAAAGTGTAGGCAATTCATATGAGCACCTCTTCTGGCTGCCATTTCAGCAAAAAGTCAGATCCTGCCTAACTAGCAACCAGGAGAGTACGTGGAGTCACCTACTGCCCTGACAGAGGGTTTGGGGAGGAGGCAAAAACACTTGGGAGGATCAGGTGGCTCAGAGAAGCAGGGAGCTAACTCAGCCTGTCAGCTCAGTTCCAAGGACAGCCGGGAAGGGAACAGCAGGTACTCACTCACAACACCCACAGGGAATTAGTTGAAGGCACTAACTCTCAGCACACAAATGCCTGTGTTGGTGACAGTCTGACATTTCACCCCCTTCACTAGCTGCCCCAGGACCAAACACATTGCCTGCACCTAGCCAGAAGTCCCCTCCAGGACAGGGCAGACACTTCATCCATCCCTGCTTCAAACATTGCCAGTTCAAGAAGACCTTCCCTCACAAGGCTGACGAATCTACCACCTTCAGCATCAGCAAAAATGGTTCTGTGGAAATTAATTGTGCCCACAAGACACTCTATCCAGGCAGGTACAAAGGACAGTATACAGAAAGACAGCGAACAAGAACAATATGATGAGAGCTCAGTCCCCTTCATCTCTCAGCTTGCCAGCGCAGGCCCTGTGAGAGCTAGCTGCTAGCTGTGAACAGCCAGCCAGTAGCACCCTCCTGTGACACACTCCTGCAGCTCCCATTACTCTCCTTCAAACCCCAGAGCTCCACTTGCCCCTGCAGCAGTTTTCATGGCAAGCACAAATTTGCCACGTCAAAATCTGCCCAGCTTCTGCTGGGTGCTCCACACTTCCGTCCTGAGCTTTGCTACATGCAGAAAAGCAGCGTTCTGCCCACAGTGATCACTTTACAGAGAATTTAAGAGCATGCCTTCATCTCCCCTGGGAAAGCAAATTTCAAGCCCTGGACGTGCAAATGTCCTCCTGCAGCAGGAGATTTCCAGAACAGCAACCTGCTGCTTGGTGCAAAAGATACAGTCCAACTGTTGGCCCTGCTCTCATTTCAACCCCTACCCCCAGCTGTCCTTTCCCTATTCTTCTCCCATCAAGTCTTTTCTGTTTCTTCCTTTTTCAAAGGTCATCCACTTCTGCAACAATACCTACTTCATTGTGGCTGCAGCAGGAACTGTTGTATCAGAGTACACACAAATGTTTATTTTTTCCCCAGTTATACATGTTCTGAAGGCACGCCTCTTTAACTGCCCTCCATCATTCAACAATGGAAAGGGAAGGCTTCTTCTTGCTGTTTCAGCAAGCTTGTTAAGCAAGAAAGTTACCTGTAGAACACCTTGCACACCGGCTTTCTCGGTCACAGCCTTCTGGTAGTACTACAGCATTTAAGAAAAATGCTTCTTCTTCTGCAGGCAGCAGCAGCGTTTTCAGCCTGGCTGCTATTTACAGTAAACTCTCCAGAGATAAGTTTTAACACTCAGTTCTTCTCCACAGATCCCACTTGCAAACTAGCTCATCCCAACAGTAGGTCTGCCACAGGTCATCAAACCGTCCGGTGCTACATTTTGGATGGAAGACATGACTATAAAGCAGTGTACTTTGTAGTATCAACTTGGACTTCTCTTCATTTCACCAGTCGTAGACATCTGGTTCAATAGTTCTTCCTGTAGTTGACCTGTGCAGCAAAGCAAGCTGACTTCACGCAGACCAAGAAAAAGGCCAAGGCTAAACTAAATTCTGTATTTGATTTTCTGTCTCTGTTGCCAGGCAAAACTTTGTGAAACCTTACAAAACTATATCCACCCACAGCTCTCCCAAGGCAAGGGATAGATTCAAGGGTGCAGGCAAGCTGCATTTTGTCCTCCCACAGCTCTCCCAGAGCACAGCAGGGAGTCACATATCACCAGCCCTATGTATCTTTCTCTACATCTCCTCAAGGGCTGTCTGTTCACCGCCGTTCCCTGGTTTCATTGTCAGGAACAGAGATTCTCAACTAAAACATTGCAGTGCTTCCTACTGAGGGTTGGTTCTGGTAGTATTTTACATTTGGGCAGTAAGAAGTTGTGAAACTCAGATTCAAATTTCAGACCACTGCCAGGAGCAGAACACGACAACACTCACTGACTTTAGGCTGCAGTTGCTCCAACTCTTTCTTCAAACAGTCATTATTTTGTAGCTTTTGCTGCTTAAAGAAAGGGTGATAAGTTACAGGTTTTCCTTGAGTACTTTCCCTGCACTAGCCCTGAATCTACAAAGCTCTTAGATCTGGGATGCAGATGAGATGAACAATCCCCACAGAGCTAGTGAAGCAATTGCTAGTTACGGCACTCACATTTCAACCCCTCTGTCCTCCTTGGCAAGGCCTCCATGCTACTGTGAGTGCCAATCACAGAATGTCCTCTGTAACAGCAAACGGGAAAGAAAGGAGGTGTTCAGGTCCCAGCCTAGCCCCTCAGGTGCTGGGACACAAGGAATAGGAATAGGATCAAGGAACACCCAGTAAGATGGTTTCAAAGTTGTCCTCTGACAGGCAGAGCACAGCACTACTTCATGAATTCCCCTCTGCCACCATGCTGTATGCTCCGCAGACTGCAGAAGCCCTGTCCTCCTGCTCCAACTGGGACAGCCAATATATTTGGATAGAAAAGTAGGCAAGATGCACATTAAGAATTCAAATATCTGAACTAATATCTGCACCTACAAAGGCAACTTGGTGAGTTGACTAAATATGGTGAGTTAAAAGGGCTTCAGCAAAGGACTTCATGTGAGGACACCCAACTCGAAACCAAGGTTGGTCATGGACCTCTGGAAAATCACTTTAATTTTTTTTTCCACTGTCCATTTCCTCTCCTGAGAAGCAGATGTACTTCTCAGAGTTTCAGATCACTGAAGAAAAGGCAAAAGGAGAAATCACAAATTCAAAAAGCCCTTTCTGCCTCGTATCCAGCACGTGGCGCTCACTTGTTTAGCACAGAGATGGAACTGCATTGTGCCAGGCTATACTCACAGGCTGCTGTTTCTTCAATGGGATTTCAGCAACCTAGACAAGAAGTGATCTATGTAAGAGGTTTACAGATTTTGTAGCATTCCATACTGCTTCAGTTGCAGTGCCTTTACCTTCACTACCTTCTAGCTTATTATCTAGCTGCTGGAAGTCCTGTTCCCACTCAGTCAATTCACAGACTGAATTGATGATCTGAGGGGAAGAACAGGAACAGATTTTGTATGAGAATAACTTAGCCCAGGAAAGAACACAGTAAGCTGGTTCAACTTCAGAAGCTGGAAATACAGGAAGAATAGATAAAAAAAATCTAAACACAGATGCGATCCTTCCGTCCTCCTCTTACAGAGGGCATGGATACAATAATAAACAGCTCTTGCGGTTCTAGAAGGTAAAGGGAACTCCAGAAGGAAGGAAATTTGTAAATCTGAAGCAGTTCTGTCCCAAAGAACTGGCAGGTCTGATGTCCTGACACTTCACAGAACTCAGGATTAACAGTGGGAAAAGGTTGCAGGAGAACTAACCATAAAGATTATGGCAAGCTGCTATAAAGGTAATGGTAAAAAGGTCCAAATCTGAGGCTTGATCTCTGATGTGGCAAATGTGCTGAGAGGTTGTAGGGTGCCGCTGTGCTTTCAGACAGGTAAAGTTTAACGTGGAGGCTTTGTTATGTTTTAGTGAGCACCGTTCACACACACAGGGACGGGGCGCTTTCAAACTGCACACGATGAAAAAGCAGCGCACAATACAGCGTGTTATAGCACGGGTGGGCATACGGTGCGACCGTGAGGAGAATTAGCGGTGACCAGAGGCAATGCCCCTCAGCGGTTAAAAATGGCGGGGCCCCGCTGAGGCGGCAACCCAACCGCCAGTAGGACACGGAGACCCCGCCCCGCCCCGCGCGCGGAGCCCGCTGGGACATGGAGTCCGCTCCGGGTAACCCAGCGCGGCGGGGGATGGAGGCGCGCACTACAACTCCCATGGTGCTTTGAGGGGCGGGGCCGTCTCCTAGGAGACACGGCGCGGGGGGCTCCCCGGAGGGCGGCCAGAACTACCGTTCCCGTGATGCCCCGCGCGGAGGCGGCATGGAGGGCCGCGTGGCGGAGCGGCTCCGCGGCGCGCTGGGCCCGTTCGGCTTCGAGGTGCACGCCTTCAAGGTCCTGACGTCACGCGGGGAGGAGGAGGGGGCGCGCGCCGTGACGTCATCGCCGGTGACGTCAGCGGGCGGCGGCTGGGAGACGGCAGGGGGCGCCGCCAGCCCGGGAGCCGCGAGGAGGAGGAGGAGGAGGAGGGGGGGGGGGGGGAGGAAGGGCAGGGGGCTGGGGGGCAATGAAAGGCCCGGCTGGGTCAGGGGCTGCCCGTACAGGGCCGGGGGTTCATTAAGGGGATTTGTGGCCCGGGGGGGCTGAAGTCCTGTCGGCAGGTTTAAAATTTAACCCGAACGCGCAGCCGGCGCCGCGTCTGGGCGATGATCTCGGCCCCTCGTGTGCTCCGCGGCTCGGCTGCTCCTTCGTGAGCACACAAAACCCTCTTCGCCTCTTAGGAGTCCTTCGAGGCTCTCGCACCGTTATGAAACCAAACGGCGCTTTGTTTCCTCAGCCAGCTGAGCCGGTTGTGAAAAGGTCGCTGCTCCTGCCTGATCCTACTCACCCGTGGTGCCTGGGTTTTCATGGTGACAGGTTGTCACCCCTCGGTGTCACTCGGCCATACAAGGGGAAGGTTGTGTTGTCAGCATTAATATAGCAGGAGAGAAACCTTCAATGGAAAAAACGATAATCTATCTAGAATAAACATGACCTTCCCCTCCTCAGGGAAAGTCGTATTTACCACCTGAAATAATGGTATCTTCCGTGCTGTATTCGTTATCTGACACCAACTAAAAGGGAGTGAGGCTCCAAGAGAAAGGAAATGGCCAAAAGGTGGAGGAGAATTTAATATTGTTTTCCCAAAATATGGCAGCAGAATTATAGGCAGAACCCAGGCCAAAAAAAGGCTGCAGCTGCCAGAGGGAAAGCTTACGGCACTGCGCCTTTCTAGATTTAATTTTCTTGCAGCTTGCCCTGGTGTATTGGCTGCTGTAAAACGGGAAATTAGCAAACCTTAGATTCACATCTCTGTAATTTCTTTAGCAGCTCAATTCAGCGTCTTAAACAAGAGCCACAAAACTGATTACACTTTGGGGCTGACGTAAGAATGCAGCTTTATGGTAAACTGAGTTTACTCCTGCTTACGTATGTGCAGGTCTGGCTGCTACTGTCACCTCTGAAGTGACTTTCCCATTCATTTCAGTGATACCTAGAGGTGACCAGTACTTCGCGCCCCCAGGCTAAATACCAATTACACCAGGCATCTTTCTGAGTGTTAGACTTGGTCCTTAGGGCATCCCAGGAGAGTGGGAGTTATAACCCACACAAAGACTGATGTTATTGTGCAATACATTAGTGGTGGAGCGTGAGGCTTTCAGTCATTACCTCCGTGTGTTCGGCAGTTGCTGGTCGTGTCCCTGCCCTCCCGGTCGTGTCCTGCCACCCTGGCTCGACCCCTCATTTCTGGACTGCGTTATATCCAGCCCTGGAAACCGGCTTCAGAATGTGGCTATGTCACAATCCATGCACTACAGCTGATGTTCTGAGGGATTCTAGCACTGCTAGGAGCTTCACGTCCTTCATTTTCACACAGAAATGTTTCCTGCTGAAGCAGTGTATCAAGTAACTTGTCATATGAGCAAAACAGAAGTACCAGTTTCTTCCTGGCTGAGACAGAAAATTTAAACAAAAAATAAGAAATAAACTCACAAAACGATAGACTTTTTCCAACCAGTGAGGGGCATCACAAGAATCAGCTGATCAGCAAAACCAGAAGGCACAAAGTAGCACAGGGACGGATTAGAGGATCTTACAAGGACCTTACTTTCAGTCAGTGAACTCCAGAGAACGGCTCTGCACCAGGAATAACTGAGGAGTGAATGCTCTCTTGTAAAAGAGCATTGAACTGATAGAGGGAAGATTTCAGAGCACGCCGCTTTCAGCTTTCTGCTGTGTCAGTGACAGCTGGATGCCCCTCCTGTGACACAGCTAGTTGTGCCTTGCACCACCTCACTCCAGTACACTGGTTTTATGCAGAGAAAGACTTCAGATACTTCAGCTCTTGAGGTGATTGTAAACTGCAGTCCGTGCTTTATTTCCTGCATGGTCTCCTGCAGTTAAAAGCCCTTTGAGGTCTTCTGCATATTTGTCTATTCAGCGAGGTCTGCTTTTCTGGCATAAAAGTTCTATGAGTTTTTTATAACAGGCAGGGACAGTTGTGTGCAGGGTTTTAATTCATAATGAACCTCCTTCTACTGGCACAACAGGCACTTGCTGTGAAAGTGAGTCATGCTCAATCAGATTACTGAGGTTTCAGGTGACAGCGGGGCTGTGACCTGACTAACTCCTACTAAGAAGCAATACAAGGAGTAGGAAACTTGTCTAGGGAAGGATCCAAGGGAGAAGCAGAGAAAACAACTGTTAAAGCTTATCTGAGCCCAAACATCTGATTTGCATTGGCACGGCTGGCTGCTGGTACTTCCCTCTATGAGCAGAGCTGGAAAAAGGACAGTCTTGAGGAGCTCACTCTTATCTCTCACATCAAGTACACCTTTCAGAAACTCTAAATCCCAGTATGCAAAAGAACCTGGTTTGAATGGAAGGAACTTGGCTGCCTATCTGGGTTGCAAATGAAGGTGGCGACACTTCTTTCTCGCATTTTAAATTCCTGCATGCCCACTAGCAAAAGTCGCTGTTTTAATGGAGATTTGTTTTTCTTTGCCAAAGGTTGGATGGTACAATGCTGTTCTCCAGCCAGCCTTTCATCTCCCCTACCCAGATGACACACTGGCCTTCGTTGTCCTCAGCACGCCTTCGATGTTTGACAAAGCCCTTAAACCTTTTGTGAAGAAAGAACGGTTAAAAATAATCCGGGATCCCGTGGATCAGTGTGTTTCTCATCATTTGTCAGGTGTGAAGGAGGTAAGAGCCCGAAATACTGACTCTTTTTACTACTGCAGCATATAACCAAACAGGTGGATTGAGCAGTAGAAAGCCTTCCAGGTCCCTGCACTTCTTCCTTAGAAGGATGAAGCATTATTCACATTCTGTCTCTGCCATTATGTGTTGCTATGTAGAGTGCTTTACAGTCACGTTTTGAAAATCCAAGGCCACAAGCACGCTGATAAGATTTCAGTTGCAGGATGTGGAAATTTACAGGCATCTCAGGGTGCCTGATTTGCTAGGATGTAGCATTTCTGTAGCAGCAAGTCTTTTCCCATGAGTCTGGGCTGATGATTTTGTCTTTTCACAGAAATTCCCTGACCAGAAGGTGGATATCATCTTTGATTATGAGATCCTGCCGAGCCGAAAGCCCAAGTTCCTGGCACAAACAGCTGCCCACGTTGCTGGTGCTGCATATTACTACCAGAGAAAGGATGTGAAGCTCGATCCTTGGGGGAGAAAGGTGAGGCAAAATCACAATCTGTGAAGAAAAAAAAACACACCAAATGGAATCACTGAATTGTACATTTTTTTACCCACTAGTTCTTCCTGCATATAAAAAGAGGAAAATATCTTGATCTCTTTAGCCTTCTTAGGAGAATAAAGTTCAGTGTAAAAGACCTGTTGGTTGTAGCATTATAAATAGAAAATATATACATATGTACTGTGGTTAATTTCTATTTTAGACTCAAAGAGACCTCTCTCCACATTACCGTATGGTGTGTGTGGGGGCACAGGAAAATGGGAATGCAGTGCCAAATGTTCAGGCAAGAGCTTTCCTTTCTTGCCTTTATACCACTCCAACAGGACACTGGGACTGTGAGAAATTGCATCAAAACTTGATGTTTGAACTCCAACCATTACTAGAGACCACATGAAACATGCTAGATCTTTCTTTTTTACTTCCAGAAGATCTATGGCGTGTGTATTCATCCCAAATACGGCGGTTGGTTTGCTATCCGAGGTCTCCTCCTGTTCCCAGATATTCAGGTCCCCTTCCTGCAACAGTCTGCCCCTGTGGACTGTGTGAGCACAGAGGAGAAGAGAACTGAATTGCTGGAGCAGTTCAATTTCCACTGGCAGGACGGCCGCTACAGGGACATAATTGAAGTGAAGGAAAGGTACTCAGAGGAGCAGAAAGCCTACTTTGCCACTCCCCCAGCAGAGAGATTCAGACTGCTAGGGCTGACACGGCTCACAGAGTAAAACAGTTCCCTGAAGGGGCTGGGCACGAGCAGAGTGTAATCCCCAGCACCTGCTTTTCCGTGGTGCTGAGGAGGAAGGTGTGCAGATACAGAGTGCAAATCCAAGTATTGCAGACGGTGTCTCAGTCCAAACCTCAGCTTCTCAGAGTTGAGAGGGAGCACTGCATTGTAGCTCTTTAGGTCTCGAGGAAGGTGGAAACAGTCTGTTCCCTGCTGCTGCTGAGTTGGTAGCTATTTTGGGGAGTCTGGTTAAGATACCCACTAGTCGTTGGCTAGGCAAAGTTCAGAAACCCTGGCAATTGGGAAACTCATGCCGCTCATTAGAAAAGTTTTTCTCAAGAATTTTCTTTCATAATATTTTGGTTTTATTCTGTGTAAGAGTGAAAAAGTTTAATTTTATTCATTGTGTTCTGAAATAATTTATTTTGGTCTGAACTCAGTGCAGATATTTTAGATGTATCCAGGATTTTTTTACGCTGTCATAACTCTCCCTAGAGAATACATGTTCAGTCCTCAGAAAAAAAAACACTACATTCCTTCACTTATAATGAACCTGGCTTAATTTAGTTAAGAAAACTTTTCTGAATTCCTTAACCTGGAAAGAAAATTCTTCAGAAATAGTTTCATTGAGTGTCACGGTCCTGTGCAGGAAGCAGAAGTGAGCAAACATAGCCAACAGCAGCCTCCTTTTTTGCGGTAGTTATGAAAGGGAAAGGGACAGTGTAAAGGTCGTAGCTTGGGTCTGATACATTTCCTCTTCACTCAGGGTCAGCTTCTCAGAACAAGGTGGAGCCTTTAGGTCAATTTTGAAGCACTTAACATACAGCAGCCTACTAAAATCCTGGAAAAGATACTGAATAATGGCTATGAGTGGAATTCTTACTCACATTAAGATAACTAGCTGAAAAAGTCAGTTCTCATGACCTTTTCCTAAGGTAGATGAGGCTTGAATTTCACATATTTTCCAGTGCTATGCCAGCAACACCATTTTTAAAACTCTAGTTTCCTGTTTTAGTTTCTATATGAAGGAGATCATAAACTTGCACACATCTGAAAGCCGCTACACAAAGCATTGTTGCACTCAGAGACAAGCAGATAAAAAGGGGGAAAATATTCATGACTTTCACATTATGTATATTGCTGGTTAATACAGCTTCAGAGAGAAACAACTTCTTCAGATGACTGTTCTGTTAAATTTGTTCACAGTAGCAGGGGAGGTTGGGAATTAACCTTTTAGGATGCACTTTGAGGCTCACACCTCATTAAAATAATACATTATAATAAATTAAAAGAATGTTTTGTGGAAGTTCTGTTACTTGACTGTAGTGCAATGTTGCAAACTGCTAAGCACTTTTTCCCTTTCCCTGATAATTATAGAGAACTACTCACTTTGCAGAACTGAGCCCTTTCTTTCTATTTTGTGTTGTGGTTCTTCATCCCTTTTGGACACCCAAACACTAAAGTCGCCCTACTAGTAAATTGCTGCTTGATACCAATATTCCAGAGTATATACTAAATCAGCAAAATCAAGATTCAGCATAACAAGTTTGCTTTTCTCTAAACAGAGTAGTGAGCATGTGATCACCAACTGTTCAGTGTATTTGCTGTTACAAAAATATGCTTGTTACTTCCCATGCTTTGTTCACCGCAACTGGCTAAGGCATGCAGCTGCCTTACTGTGTGATAGTGGTACTGTGATTTTTAAGTCAGCCAAAATAATTGTTTAAATTACTGTTTAAAATAATAAAATTGTTTAAATTCTGTTCATTATAGAATTACTTCTGGTTGAAGTGTTGATTAACCTTCCAGAACTTCAAAGAATCATTACAAAGTACTGATTCTCTTAGAATGATAAATACAAAATAGAATTGGATTTCTTCTTTTTACATGACAATTTAAAGTAAAATTGATGGTTGATTTCTTACAAATATTCAATATTTTGTCTTAGTTCACACCTTAAACATTACCGTAGTCATTTCATTACAATTTTTGTAATTTATTTCTCTTCATATGATATTTTGGTTAATAAAATGTACAATAAATTTGTAAGTAATCCTGAGAACTGAGTATTTTTTATTTAAGCTAGGCAATGATTAACTTGTGGAGAGCGGATGTTAAAGTGAGAATTGATCACCATGTTTTTAACATACTGAAAGTATTGATCTACCTAGGACACACAAAAGCGAGCATCTGAAAACAAAAGAAAAACTTAGTGATCTTAGCAGAAGCTTGTAAACTATTAAGGCAGGATAAGGATAAAGCGCCTGGGATACTGAAACATAAAACATACAATGTAGTAGGAACTAAGTGTAAAGATGTTTATCTTCAGTAGGTCATTTGAGCAAGATTATTTAACAGCAAGCACATGATGAGGCACTTTGATTTTCTTCCTCTATTCTAGCAGTAACAAAAGTTCAAGGTGTCCAGCAATACATAACTCATGCTTGAGGGGTTTTCTCTCAGTAACTTCAAAGTAATACCTGCAATTACTGAAATTCTTATTTGTTAAAACATGTGAACGCTGACTCACATATAGGCAAATCTGTGTTTTGTGCTTCTAGCAGTACAGTTATGTCAGAGTTGGTGTATATATATAGTATACATGGATATACTTTCTTTTAGCCAGGTCACTAATCGCCACAGCTGCAGCTAGTAGTTTGCTTCCCTTACTGGTCTTTGTCTTATAAAAGTAGAGTTTGAGAACCTGTTTAACTTCTCATTTCTTGAGACAAGACCAGACATGGTCAGAATGGATCATTCTTGGATCCTGAGGCATCATGAAGACATCCTTATCTTAGGCAATTGCAAGTATCATAGAAGTAATTGCAAATCTTTGGGTAGATTAGTAGCCAAACTACTATATTTTACATTTTATAGACATTTTCACTAAATCCTAGTTCTTAAACATTTATTATGTACTATTTTTTTCCTCAACATAACTGGTAGGGTGAGTATGCAAGAGTTGAGCAGTAAGGAAAATTAGAAACTATTTCAATTTGAATTGCGTTTTAGCAAGACATTCCATATATTTCAAGCTCATAAAAGATTTTCTGGGGAAATAACAGTTCTGTGATGTTTTCATACCTCTAACACTTATCATTTAACCCTTCCTTCTGTGACACTTTCATTTTTACTTCTTAAAAAAGAACTGAAATTCATATTAAGATTAAAGATGGGACAGAAAATACTGATTAGGTGCAAAGTACTATCTAATCTGGTGACAAGCAACCATTATGATTATTGTTCAGAAAGGGAAAAACCCTTCAGGGCCTGTTTTTTTTCCTACCAGTTACACCAATTACTCAGCTTTGATCTCAGTGGTGCAAGAATAAACACCTGTGTTTGACTGGGGTATGAACTTCCTTATGTTGCTTTATTTTCTTCTGTGAACAGGATGGGTCTTCCTCTAAATTACAGTAGACTATAGATGGTTTGCTGTTTTGCAGTGCTAATGTGTCAGACAAAAATAGCCTGAAAAAATACACAAGTACCATTCACTGACATATCCACAATTACATTTCTCATTTTATTTATTTTGTGGATGCTCATAGATAATTAATTGAGCAAAATTTCATTTTTAATAACTGAAGGTATTTATTTTCCCAAAATACTTCCTAAAAGAAGTTTTGAAAGAGAATTAGAATTTTTAAGTCTCTAAAGCTTCTAGAAATCATGCACCTCTACACTAAGTTACCCTGTGTTTTTTTCTCATGCAAAACAAAGCATCAGATGGGCAACTTCCTGTAGCTAAATTAAAACTGGAGTGGGAGTAGGATGTCGGGGTTGAAAAGTACCTCACACAACCTTAAATTCATGCTGAAATGTTAGGTTTTTTTTATTATTATTATTTTTGCGTGAAAAGTAATTTATTTTAGAAAAAAATAGTTTAAATTCTCATTGCATGTCGTAACATTTTTTCCAGTATTGTTATGACTGGTCTGAATCATTCCCTGTTACTTTAAACTTTTTAACAAGCTCTTCTAAAAAATCAAAAATTACTGGAATAAAAATGAAATTCACCCTGTATTTGTGAAAAGTGAACTTGATTAAGTTTTAACTTTAAATTATATTAAATTTTATTAATTGTAGATTAAAGACTTTTCTTTTTCCTGACAAAGGACATAAATCTTATTTGTCAGCATAGATACTTAAGATGTATGTGGCTATAGAATACAGAACACAATCCTAATGGAATACCAGTTTCAGAGGGCAGTACAGACATATTATTAAAAAAAGACTTCATATAGATACATGGTCAAGTGGTATCTTGCACAGAACCATTATGAACTCAATCACATGTCCTATGATATATTTAATGACTTAAGTTTCAGGTAAAAGAGCCAAGTTTCACATTGAAGTCCAAACCCATCGCTAGGTGTGGTGAGAGGAGCTTACCACAGGCACTCTGCTTGTGCAGAAACAAAGCAAACAATTCACAGTGTGATGGCAACCTGCTCTCCTGCAGCCACCCGAGTGCGCAGCGCAGATTAGCTGTGTGATTGCAGAGCCCTTCCACTTGCACAGACTTTGGCCTGTAAAAGTGCTGATTCTACATAGACTACGAACGTGTTTTTCAGTATTTATCAATACATTTATCTACAGACCCTGGTTGTTCACGTTATAAAACTGTGTTAGTTCATATTTTGATTGTATTAAAAGTGTTTTATATGTTTTTATTATGTTCTTCACTAGCACTTACCCATTAGTGTCTGTAATATCATACTCATATTTTGTGAGGTGTTTAAATTATGTCTATATTAGAGTAGACACTGACTAGTGACCTGAGAGAGAAACACAGACATGACCACCAAAGCAAATTCAGTTCTAACTGTACTTTAAAGGGAAAAATCTATGTTTTATCTTTTAATATTAAAAGTAGAAGCTAATGTACTCATGATTAAAAAGAACATTTTTTTTTTTTTTTTATTTCCTAGCACAGTGTTTATTAGGTGCTATTAATTTGGATCCAAAAAAGACCATGACAGCTTTAGCACAGTTTCTGAACTGATGTCTAAACGTACTGTATTCCTACTGGTACTGGTTGGATAGAGTCAGTGAACTGCAGCCACTTCATTTTTCCCTTTGCAAAGAAGAACCAAGAAAGTTTGTTTTAACTCCTCTGTAGCTTATCTGTCAATTGAGATACTTCAGGATATGTATTTATACGGACTGTGATATAATATTGAACATCAGACTTGCTGAACACATTATAGAGAACATTTTTCTAACTACTGCTATGATAAAACCCAAGTATTTTAACAGAATCTTTACAAAACTGTTGTTTTGGTGTATATTACTAAATGGTACAATCTTGGGGCTTTTGTAAACATAATTTTCTAACCAAAGTGCATCATTTTGCAATACCGATGAGACATAACCTACTGGCTTTTATGTTCTTTGAACCATATTGATTTGTTGGAGAAGCTGATAAAAAAATATCATCAAATGCCTGAAAAAAATGCTGGAGCACTTGTTAAGAAAAAAGTACTTTTTAAGTTTAGTAACTTTTAAAGAGTATTTTTCAAAAACAGTGTGAAACTCATTTTATAACCAGATACTAATTCTTTAGATATCAAAATATCTTTTCCTTATCATATACATCTGAAAATAAATAATTAGTAATTTTGAAATAACATACACATTAAAACATACAAAACCTAGTAAAGGTTAGGTTCCGTATGCCGAATATAAAAAATATGCTCTATATATCCAATTTAAAAACATATATAATTATATATACCAAAAAAAATCCTTGTTGGTGCTCTTGCACAGATGTTATTCTTGTTGAAAAGTGGTGCACCGTTCAGTCCTCAAGAACAAGAACATAAATACATTAAAATACAGCTAACTTCATTATATTGTCAGTAGATGTCTGACGGAAATTCTGAGCTACATCTGTAATAATATTGAGTTTGAGCACAGAAACAAACTTCGACTCTTCCTGATTTGGAGAAGTTCAGGTCTGACCACCATTTTATGTGGTGCACACTAAGAGACATTAAAATGTCAGTGTATTAAGTGCTCCCATTAACATGTCACATGGCCAAAGAATTAATAAAAAATGTAATTGCATTAGTTCCCTCAGTTATGCATTTGGTGCAAATGTATAGTAGCAGTAAATGTATAACACAAGTTCCTGCCCCACTGGTATTCTGTTTCTGGCTTTTTTGAGCTTCTGCTTGTCATCATTGTCTGGCGAGTCGCTATGATGTTTAAATACACACATTGTATTGTCTTAGTTTGCCAACTAAAGTGAATGGCAACAGACCAATTACAAATGAAATGTTTTTCTCCGTCACGGATTTAGAAATAATAGCTAATTAGGTAGCCACTGAGATTAACTACTCAGTTTTCGAAACAGGGAAATTAACACATGCAAGTAACTACTGCTACTGGTACACCTGAAGATGGGAGGTATTTATAACTACACTTTAGTAGAGTATCAGAGACCATTAAAAGCAGAAGCAAATATGTAACCACATTAGCAGGGAGGGTAACCAGCACAGGTTAATAAAACCTTCTTGTCAGAACCCGAGTCTCCACATGACTGGAATTCAAAGCAATTCGAAGCAAGTTCCGTACCTAATGCAGCCCATAACCACCAGAGGAGCGGGCTAAGCAGATCGCAGGGGGGCATTTCACGGGATTTCCCCACACGACCTCCCGCGGAGGCGATCCGGATCCCGCTCCTCTCCCCGCCTCACGACGCCCGCCCGCCGCCATGAGGCCCCGGGCGCCCGCCCTCAGAAAAGCGCGGGCGGCGCGGGGCGGGAGGGCCCAGCCCGGGCGGCTGAGGAGCGGGGCCGCCGCCTGAGGGAGGAGGAGCGGCCGCAAGGAGCCGGCGGCTTCTGCCTGCCAAGGGCTCCCTCTGCCTCCACGGAGGGAGCACCGTGAGCAAAATTGCACCCAGCGAGTCCATCCCCTTCACAACGCGATTTTAACTTTCAAATGATACAGCAAATGGAGTTATGAAAGGCTCTTTGTGTCACGGTGAGGTGCAGAACGTAGTTATTAACACAAAGGCTCTCAGTCTGGGCACAGAGCAGGCTTATTTGTCACGCCCCCAGGACTTCATATAGCACTGTATGATGTAATGGCAAGCATAGAAGCACTTAAATTGGAAAGACCTTCAAGATCATCAAGCCCAACCATCAACCTGACCTGCTGTGTGCCATCACTAGAGCATGGCTCCCAGTGCCATATCCACACATCTCTGAAATACCTCCAGGCATGGGGACTCCACCACCCCCCGGGCAGCCCCTTCCAGCACTAGAGCATAGGTCCCATTTCACTTCTGAATAACAGCAGAAAACACTCGAATCACAGCAGGAAAAGAGATGCACATTCCACTGGAATAGACCACACAGAGAACTCCCAGGAACTGCTCTTATCATTTTTGACATTTCAAAGTGAATGTAGAGAGCTTCAACTAAAGCAAGTTTTACATTAGACTAGCCCTGACTTTCCTCCTTTTCATTTGCTAGGATAAGAAAGTTTGGTATCAGATAGCTTCATGTTCAACCACATCACATTAGTATTTGTTCACTTATCTTGAATCCTATCAGTTATTTATATGCAATTCCCATATAACCATGGGGTTATTTGCAAAGGTTTACTCAGTGCCTGGAAGCATCTTGACACTCCTGCTCATTATCCAACAACCCCAGGATGTTACCCTCATTTGTTATCTTCATGAGAAGAACATGGATTTTAATCACTAAGCAAAATGATTTTTAACTAAGCATCACTTCCACACATCCTCAGGAATTAGAGTTAAGCAAGACCAATAGATTAACTTTTTTTTTTTTTAAATATTTAGTGCAGTAAGCCTTCTGCAAGAAGCCTGTTTCCCCCCCACACACACTTCACAGGTTTACTACTCAAGCATGTGACATTCACTCTTGACTCATCTAAACAGCCCCGGGCCTCAACTTTGCTACTATCCACTTTAACAGGATAGAACTTGTTTACTGCTTCAAGAGTTAAAGGCAGGCTTTTAGGCATTTATACTTTAAAGTTAATTTAAACTTCACAGGTTCATAAAAGCTCACAAAGCTCTAACATACTTCTACCACAAAGCAATAGCACCTTCCCCAAATCTGAAGGTCAGGACTTCATTACAAGGCACCTGTAACCATGAAGCTACACAGCTGTAATGTAACTTAGGGCCATAGCCATATGTTTTGAGTTTCACAGTACGTACATAATCATTTATAGTACAAAGATGAAAGGCAAGGCTGAACAAAATCAGAGTACCATGGTTTATAGTGCCACCCTTTTGATCTTATCCATCAGCTCAAAGTCTTATCAACTGGCATCTTCTCAATCCTCCCAAGACTCCCACTCCATATAATGGGAGAGATTAGGGATTAATCTCATGCATCCAAGGAATTTTGCTTTCCAAAAAGCAAGTGTTCTCTGGAGTTTGCAAACTGGATGTTAAGGTTCCTAGAAGGTTTGCATATGTAATCAGTTTTAACTAAAAAAGATGCAGAAACAAGTTTATACTATGTATGAAAACACACCTGGCCTTCAGTCATGTTTGTGTTTTATGATCTGGACACTGCATTATTATTAAAGTTGCTCAAGTATGATACAATCTGATCTAGCCATGTTCCTCTACCTGTATTCAAGACTTCTTCTAAGAACTTCACTACTGTAACATGAGAACTGAAGTGTTAGTACCTCCACTCTAATAGAGTGGTAGAAGAACTCCAGGAATTGAGTTATCTACAGACAGCTCAATAAACCAAGCTTTTAACTAGCAATCTTTACTGCTATTTAAAAGTTGTGTTACTGAACCAGAGGACTACACCACAGCTCATGTTATCGTTCCCATTGTCCCCTCTACAGAGATCAACTCAGGTTTTACATTCCAGTGGATGAATCTGACCACTACTGACCAGCAAAATCAAAGTGCTCTTTCAGCTTTTTGACTACATAAGACCAATACACGGAGTGCTTTTTCCATAAGTTTAATAGTTACAAAAGAATACCACTGCTCTATACGCAACACATGGCTAACCACATACAATGCATTGTCACTAAAGTCAATAGGGCATGATGTACAGATATTGATCATTAGGGTTTTCTATGAAGGTACTATCAACAGGACAAACTTTCCTTCAAGTAAAAAAAAGTTACTGTTTATACCTATAGCATGATCCCTTGACTCAAATGCAATGATTTAGTCAAAGTTCAGTAACTGATACTTGCTCTTTCTGTAAGGCATACTAGTTTCCACTCGGACTGAAAGTTTACTTCTGCTTGGAGAAATATTCTTTGCTTTTCTGAACATCAGGCTTGATTGTGTCACTGCCAGGCTTCCAGCCAGCTGGGCACACTGAAATGATAAGAACATGCAAGTCTTATTCCGCAGAAGTGGTTAGCGTTTCATACAAAGCATACTAACAACTCAAAACCTGTAACAATTTTGCAAGGTATATTAATCAGTTTCATCACATCAGTTATTTTTAATCCTTTTAATTTGCTTACTAGGTAGTTGCACCCAAGGAACCCAATGTCTGTCCATGTAACAGCAGGCCCTCTACACATGCACACCTTCCCATCTTTCATGGAAGCTTCACAGCAAGGGAGCACCAACACCAGCAGTCTGTGTCAGGAGGCATCTTTACAGCTACTACAGTGTAGTTACTTCCCTGGAGCCAGTCAGGCTTACTTCTCCCCCATCCTAATCAATCCTACTCCCATCCTCTAGTTTAATGGAGGAAGGAAGAGTTGAACTGCCTTTAATCCCACTTTGTGGGCATCAGGAGACTACCACAATGCAGGGGTAGCACAGCCTCAAAACTGAGGTGACACTCAAGTAGCATTCTTTGGAGTCTTCCTTTTATACAGTTAAGGAAGGCTTGATGCTTGCTTAAAGCAAGCCTGGCAATTAAAGCTGTGACATCTCAGCTTCTGAGTGTCATCATACACTTCTGGTCTAGCCTGGTTTAGATGAGACTGCAATCCCAGTTCTGGAGGAAAAGCTTCTGTCAGCTTCTTACTACTCCAGAGGAGTAGCAACCTCCACCCTTCCCCTTCAACATTTGGCAAGTACTCAATGGACCACAAACTGGAGTAGGATTATGCAGTGACAAATAGCTTTACAGAACCAGCTTCATTACAAGAGGCACAATCAATCACTTGCTGTGAACAGATCTATACATGCAATCGGTACCTTTCAGTAAACCTATTAAACCTGTTTAGTTAATACTGTTCTCTTGAGAACTATTTAGGATCAGATACAAGAACCCTTACCTTCTCCATGCTTGTCTGTAAATTGGAAAGCCTGCACAAGCCTGAGGGTTTCATCAACACAACGGCCAACAGGAAGATCATTGATTGTTATCTGTCTCAAGATCCCCTTCTCATCGATTATGAACAGACCCCTACAAAGACAGACCTGGGGTTAAACAGGTTTTGAAAGATTTGTCTGAAGTGAGTTGCAAAACCAAGTTCAATATTCTATCACACCAATAAGTTGTGTAATGTAGTATTTTCCTTTCCCCAAATGGAAAAACCTTGTGTATACTCAGTACTGACACATTAACAGTTGAAATCCTTACATTCTACAGTAGCTAGGAGACAGGTAACTGTTACTTTTCTGTATTTGTTTTGATTTAAACAAGACACTAGTCAAAAGACAAAATGGAAGAGAAACAAAGAAAAAGGGAACTTAAGAAGAGACATTGCTGTATTCAGAGAAAAATACAGCAGACTAACTGGCCACCGCTGACACCAAACTAAGAATTAGCAGAAGTTCAGCTCCCTCAGCAGCTTTAACTGGACAGATGACTAAAAGATAAGGCTTAGTTTTTAATTCTACTGTACTTTAATCACCAATAACCTGTAATCACTTTCATGACGAGGTAGGACTTGCATTAGCCATGTTTATATAAGCTCACCTGCATGAGACTCCTGCATCATGTAGATATGTAACACTCCAAGTAGTACAGTTATCAAAGGAAAGCAGCAGGCCTTTATCTAGCTCACCAAAACCATAAGAAGTCTAAACACTAAGGAGAACCAAGTAACATCTCCTCTTGTAGGAGTGTTTGATAGCTTAAAGCAGTTTACATCTGGAATAGCTAAGAACTTCAGTTTGTTAAGTGTTCAAGTACACACAAGTTCTGTGTTAATCTGTATTGCAACATACAACCTTAACAAGGAGTTCACCTTACTGCACATTACCTGTACGCAATACCTTCATCCTCTTTAAGCACTCCATAGTCTTTGGCAATGACACGTTTTGTGTCAGAAACCAGTGGAATTTTCATAGATCCCAAACCACCTTGTTTCTTGGGAGTGTTGATCCTAGAAAGTAGGAAGTTGAAATATTAAGAAAAAAGGACAGTTCAACAGATCAATTGTAGTATTGCACTTAGTCTACCATGAAGCAACAAAGGAACTGACCAGTATTCCCCATTCTGTTCAGAAGTACCTGACACTACCAGTACTTCCTAAGTGCCTTTAGTTCTTCAGTAAAGATAGTCTGAATACTCAGGATCCAGTTCCTGTGAGGCCAGGCAGAACATTCCATTTGGTTAAAATAAAAGGCAGATTCTTACCATGCAAGGTGACAGAAGTGAGAGTCAACAGAAGCTCCAATTATTTCACAGTTGATTTTCTTGAATTCATCAGCTCTGTCACTGTATGCAATAATTTCAGTTGGACAGACAAAAGTGAAGTCCAGAGGGTAGAAGAAGAACACAACATATTTTCCTAGAAGAGCAGTGTCACCAGTTAGAAGTCTTTTACCTTAGGTTTTATAGTACTTGTAATATTCAGTATCAAACATTTAAGTATCAACAGAAGAGAACGTTTTGCTAGTACTCCAGAGAAAGGAACTTCATTGGTTAGAGGAAAGTTTACTTTCCACTGACAGAAAAAAAAACTACAAGGGAAGATTTTGCTGTTCCATGTAGTGCACTGGAGATGTTACATCAGTCTCAAACTGAGAGAACAAATAAGCCTGACCCCAGATTACACTTCAGAGGAATTTTAGGCTGATAACTAACAATTATCATAGCCAGAACATTCAGCCATACTGTCAACAGCTTCCCAAGCATACTCCAGCCATCAACTGACAAAAACATCTACTCCAGTCTACCATCAGGTTTTCACTATTACTTTGAAACCAAAGCAAATTAGATGCCCTCTGACTCCCACATATGGCCAGACTTCATTTATGTAGTTAGAGAGGCACATAAACTTACCTCTGTAGTCAGAGAGTTTGATGTCTTTGAATTGCCCATCTGGCATCACAGCTGTGGCAGTGAAGTCAGGGGCTGGTTTTCCAATGAAAGCCTTTCCTGAAGACATCTTGATTTACTCTAGGAAAAAAAGAAACAAACAGTACAGTTTAGGTAACAATATGTTTGCACCCAGAACTGTTTATCCAAAGAACCTCATCCATTTACATTGAGCAGAGACAGTTCCACCACTTCATCTTGCAACACGAGGCTTAAGAATAAGATTAGTTTTGTCATCTGGGTAGTCTCCAAATTAAAGGTTATCATTGTCTTTGACTAGTAACAGCTTATTACAAAAAAGAGCTAGCCTTCTTGAGTTTTAGCAGTAGTCAGTAAGTCTCCCAGTTCCACTAATTAGATGAGTTAGAGAATCTCTAACTACCTTTTGATGAGGAGACCCTTGTTCAAGTTTACAAGAGAATTTAAAACCTCAAACCTTCTCCTGGTTATTCAATCAGGGTTTTGTTCATCTCCAACATAACAATGGATATGTTCTCTACATAATTACACTTCAGCCTTGCAAACAAAGCTGCATTGTCTTATTTGCAAACAGAAGACACATGGTATACTTGGGAACTACATTTTATGTTAGCAAGTAAAATCCCACCAAGTCTTAAACCAGTAAGGCCAGGTTGTTCCCCCCGAGTATTTCAGTCTACTGAAAAAAGAGTAAGAGGGTACACAAGGACAAGACAGCTTAACTTCTGGCTGCCTGGCCTAACACCAAGTCATTTGCAACATGTCCTGCAGAGTATTTTTGCACTGTCTGGGAATGCAGAATTTGTGCATCACTTTTTGAATTCCAGTTACTTCCAGGGCATAATTTTTCAGACAGACAGCTTGTGAGCCTTGTTTCCTCAGCTCACTCTTTTTAGTGATCTCACTGAAGTCATCCCACATACTGTACAGCCACTAGCTGACTTGGAGATACAAACCTTTGCAAGGTTAGTATGAGTCTTGTATTGCTAAAGAAAAGATTCAAAGATCTTTATAAATCCTTCCTGCAAGGCACAAAGTCCACTCCAGAACAGGTTGGAAGCCCTTCATTTCTTGGCTCCTTCCCCCTTGCCACATACTTTCCAAAGAACTAGTCCAGTAGCCATAAGCAGCATTTACTTTTCAGTAAAGTTTAAACTTATCAGTTTAGAACCTTGTAAGTTCTACATCTAAAGGCTCCTCTTACACACCCTGAGAACACAAACAGTAACCTGCAGCCTCAGTTCAGTTTGCAGAGTGCCACCTTACTCAGTATTTCTAACTGCCTCGTGCCACAAGCAAGCTCCTCTTCATCCCCTTGTTGGGGGATGGGGACAAATCCAAGGGGTTTGTCTTCAAATGCAGCAGGCTAGGAGGTGAGCTTATGAATGCCCAGTAGTTCTGGCCACCATCATTCATAAAATTGTACCGAAACAGCCTAGTAGGATGACATTAATAAACCCACTGAACTCTATATATGTAGCCACGAATACAGATGTAACCCTGAAACTGCAGTTCTGCAAGATGGAACAAGGGACAACCATTGCACAATATTTCTTTGAGATATTGCTAACTAATGATTTTTTTCTTCCTGAAGAATACCTGTTTTATCTGGAGTGCATGACTCCATTACATTATTTTACATTACTCAAGCTCAAGGTCATCCTTTTACTCAGTAGGATGCCAATCCTGCTATATTTGTTCCACTGACAGGCCCTGGAGTGTATTACTGGGGACTCAGCGTCAAATAAATACTGTCAGCCTGCTCTTTGGTGCTTCTCCTTTCTAAAGCAGGTGGTTATTGTCCCCTTTTTAGGCAGCTCGAAGGCCTTTAACACCAGGCTAGGAGGCTCAGTCACACTGCACTGCAACCTGCCACCGCAGCACGCATCCCCACCTCCTGCCTGGATTTCAGCCGCAGCGTTTCCTAACCCGCAGCAGCACAGACCACAGCAGCTCCCTTCCTTCGAGGAGAAAAAAGAGAGCACGCACTGCAAATACAGGGCAGTTTAACGGGGTCAGGGCACCATCCAGGTGCTCACAGCCTCAATTACCTCTGAATTGCAATTACACCGAGCCAGGCCCGCGCTCTAGCTCGGAATCCATCCCTTGAGGACAGCGAGGCCGTTGCACAACGCCCCAGCCTTCCTCCCCGCTCCCCTCAGCGCTGCGGTCAAAGGCTCCGAGCTGCGGTCGGAGGCGAGCGACCCGCCGGGCCGCAGCCGGCTGCCAGCGCACCGCCCGGAGCCGGAGCGGCTCCGGAGCGACTCCAGAGTGACTCCGGAGTGGGGACGGGAGGCGGAGGCCGAGCCCAGCGCCAGGCGGTGTTAAAGGAGAGGGGGGGGGAAAGGGGGGCGGCGGTCCTCAACATCCCTCCGTTAAAAGGAAGGAGGAAAACAGGGAAAAAAAGGGAGAGGGAAAAAAAAAAAGGAGAGAGAAAAAAAAGGGAAAAGATGAAGAAAGAGACCCCACCTGCGCAGAGGGGGAGGGGAGAACAAAACCAAATCAAACCAAAAAAAAAAGGAAAAAAATCCTCAAAAAAAAATCCTCAAAAAAAAGATAATAAATCACGACCATCCCAAGCGCAGCCCCCCCGACACTCACCCAAAAAAAAAACCTCCTCAGCTCGATGAGACCCCGACCCCCTCAGGAAGCTGCGACTGCGGCAGCCCCCGCGGCCCCGCCGCTTTATAGCGGCCGCGATCTCGCGAGGAGACGGGCGAGGCCCTCCCGCCCTCCTTCCCGCCCTCCTTCCCGCCCTCCGCCCGGCCTCCCCTCACGGCCTCCGCCCGCCCCTCACGGGCCGCCGGGGCTGGGCGGGCGGCGTGCAAGGGCAGCATGACTCGGCACAACGCTGCCTGGATGGCCGGCCCCCCCCCTCTGGGCTTGATAGGCTTATCTGAGCGGGGACACGGCCCCCGGCTGATGAAAGTGGAGAAAAATATATATTTGTGAATAAATTGAGGTGGTTGGATAGCGTTCTGGGAGGTGCCGGGGAAATGTTCCATGTGGGGATATTCAGAAGGGGGTTCTGATGGCTCGCTGCATGAAGTGGCTTTTTGATACCTTAATAGAAGCAAGATGTAATTGTTAGGAGACATCACAGAAGCAGAGGATGCACTGGGTGTTAAGGAAAAGTGAGATGTGGCTGGCATGCCATTCAGCTGAATGGGAGTTTGCCATTGACTTCAATAAAATCAGACCTTTTCAACAAAGCAACATACATTTCCAGTACTGTATAGGTGTGGGGTCAAATCTTTCATCTTCTCCCTCTATTATCAACTGCCTCCTCAACCTCGTTCTAGTTCTCAAGGCTTCCAGTGATACTTCCCTGTTAACGGCAAGACCGATCCAAGTCACACAAGACAGGAAAAAAGCTGAAAACTCCATTAACTGTAACCTCGAAGCCTTGGGGTTAGGATGGAAACTCTTGGACGATGTTCTTAGTCATTTCAGGGAGTTCTGTGAAGCCTCTCTGAGGGACATTTAGCCCAAGTGAATTCCCACATGCATCACGTTTGCATCCAAGAGAGCTGAAACAGTCCTCTTACTTTCTGATTGAGGACCAAAACCTGAGTGTACACATAAAAGTTTTATTAAATAATGAATGCTAAAGGCTATAAAGGGCCTGTCAATGACAAAACTGCTTGTTTTAGTTTAAAGTGATAAACTTGTTTACCACCCGATTTTTACTCCTTGTCTGTCTTCCATTTTTCAGTTGTGTTTCTTATACCGGTTAAAACTTTATTATAAATTGTAATGAGGAGAAAACCACAAAGGATTAGCAAACTTTAATTGTTTACAATCTACAACAATGTGCCGTGTTGCTGGGTGACTATACCTGTGTTGTGAATCACCCAAGAGATGACTGGTTTCAATACCAGATGAAGCTACTCCCTTAAATAATAAAAGCAACGTAACATTTATATGTGTATGTAGTAATAAATAAATAAAATCATTTTAATTCAAATAATACATCTACTGCTATTTCTGTTATTACAGCATGCTTAATCTTTTAAAGAAAGATGTTTGTTACTTTCTTAACATCAATGTTTTGAGGACAATTGGGGTCTATACATTGAGATGTGTATATACCTTGGTATCAATTCAGGCCATGTACCTGCAAACAGGTTAACCCCTGAAAGTTCTGGCTGTCCTAATTAATACCTCTACAAGAATGTAGTCTCCCTGCCACTCTAGCATATTAACCAGTGGACAACACAGTAATAACTTTCTCATGGTTTCAGTGCTTGCTATGATCATTTCTCACACTTTGAGATGCATAACATACCCATTTTGCTTAGCTACTGCAATGCAGTTTGTTCCGGGTTTGTGCTTTTAGCATTGCATTTCCATTCATATGTCTATGGCCTCATTATTTTTTGATTAGTTTCTGACCTAATCTTTCCAAAGATCAGTTTCTGGATGTTCTGGAGAGAGAAACTGTCAGGGCTGCTCCTTGTTCAGTGAGCAGATAGGTTTCTGTGACCTGTTTTGGTATTTATGTACATGATACTATTTAGAAAAAAAAAAAAAAAAGGAAAAAAAAAAAGTAGTTTTTCAAGAAAGAAAGGGCATGTCTACCCAAACAGGTGCTGGAAGGACACCTTGTTTCTCCATGCTCTGCTCTGGATTAGCCCTGATGTTGTGCTCTGCTAAAATAGCTGCTAGACAGGACCAGCCCGTACCTGATTAGCACAGAGAGAGCATCAGGAGCCACTTTGCGCCCATCTAGCCAGCTATGGCCACAATAAGAAGTCTATGCATTAGCAAAGCAGAGATGGCTGGCCCAGCAGTGTTGGAAGACTGAAACTACACAAAGATTTCCAAATCAATAACTGCAACAGATTTTACGTCTATCTTTTTGATCACAGTATCTCCCAGACATCTTGGTCAGCAATTGGACCTTGGTGTGCCAAGAACTGTAAAAATAAAGGCATTGGTCCTATTTCAGGACACAACTACATCTGAGTTTCCATCTATTTTGTTGGGGCAGAATTTGGGTTTGTTTTTTTTTTTTTTTTAAATGTAAGTGTATCCAGGACTTCTGGAACAAGATGAATCTATCCAGAACAGTAGTGGGAGCTGGGCTTGGGTGGTGGCTGCCCTGGGCATGCCCCCCAAGCAGATAAATGTTGGTTCTGCAGCAGAGAAAATCCCTGAATGCCCCCTAAAGCCAGCACATTCGGACATCATCGTGTACATTCTGTAGAGCTGATCTCTGCACATGCAGAAAGCCAGCTGAATCCCGAACATACTGAATTTATTGTATACACATGTTGCCATCAGGGACATAGTAAAAGTAAAGTCCTGACCACGTGAGGACATTTTAATATAACATATGCAAAAAGACAACTCAAAAGTCAACAACTGAGGTGTTCCCAGGCCCTGGGGCATTTATGCACAAGCAGCTGGTGCACAGTAGTTTTAATGAAAACAATTACATATCATTTAAATATACAGGGCACATATTTGGTTTTCATTGCTTTGCTCAAGTGAAGACTGTGTTTCTAGGTCAAAATGTCCTGCATAACCTCTTCCTTCTTACATACCTTTTTATGAAGAAACTTCATTACTATATGCCTGGATAATCACTACTTTTTGATGACAAAACATTTCACTCTTCCTTACCTTTTCCCTTTCACTCTTCATTACATCATTGGAAGCTAATGTTTAAGTTTTCATATGAGACATTAATATATAAATCAGGCATTTTCTGTTTCTTTAAGATTGCTGATTTCCAAAGGGATTTTTGACTGGCAAGGGCTCCAAAAAATAAATCAAACCCAGCAGTTTTTCCTTCTCCTTTATTCTTTCCTCTTTGCAATTTTGTATTTCCTGTCATTTTTATTGCCTTGTCTTTTCTGTGCACTCTCTTTCCACGTTCCTGCATTTTGTCAGAACAGGCTGCAGCACAGAAAAATCTGGTCATGTGAATGCCCAAGAGATTAATTAACCTTTGTGCCTGTAAACCTCCTGAGCAGCTGAAATTGGAACAGCAATGAAAGAGTCTGTGGCAGGATGATCTTTCTGGAAATATAAACAGGAGCCTCTTCAAAGCCTTGTCAGATATGTATTTTGCCTAATTGCTGACAATTAAAAAAAAAACAACACTGTATTTATATACTTTATAGTTTATAAATGGCAGAAATGTAGGCCTGGAGTTAAAGACAAAGCTGGCTATAGCTTTTTTTAGGTGTGTTTAAGATGAGATACACGATCCCACCAGCCTTGAGTGTTCGTCTCAGTCACGGGCGCAGTTCTGCTCCCTCCACAAGCGGTGCCTGGCTGGGCGCACCCAGGGGTAATCCCTGTGCCAAACTCACTGCTTTAATGGCACTTTAATGGCACTTTAACGGCACTTTTGCTTTTATTGTACAGCCTTAGTTTTTATTGTACAGCCAGTGAGGAGGTGCATTCCTGCACACCTGAGCCAGCAGAGACTCGGTCACCTCAGGAGCCACCACCTCTCCACACACCTTTTGACACAAAAGCTAAGGCTGGACAAGCCTAACTGCACTTCCCCTTGATTCCTGCTATTTAGGGCTGCGAATAAAGTAGAGAAAACGCCGTCTCCCTTCCCACAGGAACGCAGCTTTCCACGGACAACCCCTGACACGAGCGCGGAAGCCCGGGCAGCCGTGAGGCGAGCCCGCCATTTCCTCGCCCGCCCGCCCGCCGCGCCGGCCCCCTCAGCGCTCGGCGGGGCCGTGAGGAGCGGCGCCGACCCCGAGTCCTTCCCGCAGGGCACCGGCCACGGGACGGAGCCACCGGAGCCCGCTGCCCGCCTCCGGAAGCGGAAACATCGAGGGACGGAGCCACCGGGGCGAGCAGCAGCGGCTGGCGGCGTGCGGTGAGTGCGGGGCTGCGGGCGGGAGCAGCCGCTGCCCCTGCCCCGGCTTCGATGTGCCCGCCCGCGTTAATTTAATGCGTGTTTTAGGAGTGCACGGCTCGTTGCTGAGGGGTGAGGGTGGGCTGTGGCTTGGTGGGCGGGTGTGGTGTGTGTGGGCACTTCTCTGAGCTCTCATGCATCCTCCCAGCGGGCTGCCAACGCTGCCTCTGCCACCCCGAGCTCTGCTCTTCCCTGGGAGCGTGGCGGTAGCAGGGTGCTTTGATGTTAACTTTTGTTCTTGCCCTTCCAAAAAGAGCCTTGCTGCTGTTTAATGAGCACACTAACAGCTAGTGGGCACCAGTTCTCTTACACCTCCTCCTTAAGGGAAGAATCTGAGTGGAAAGTATTGGTGTGTTTTCTTCCAGCGTCCCTCATTCTCGTGTGTTTCCATTCCAGCAAAGTCTGTCGTTCTGCTCACTGCGACGTTAATATACAACAGGATTATACAAACTAAGGTACTTCTTACCAAACGCTAGTTATCAATTAAATGGCATGTACCTTGTCTTCTGGGCCGAAGTGTCGCGTTAAGGTTATTGTGCAACACGGCTGTGTGAAGCATGCGGCTGGCTGGTGGTGTAGGCCAAGGTGAATGAAAAAGCCCTCATTCTTTAGTTGCACCTCGTGATGTAAGAAGATACCTTTATTTAGGCGACTTAGTCCAGGTAAATTGCACCCACTTGCACGTAGCTGGCAAGAAAATTGCTGTGAAAACCTCAGAAGAGAGTGCTGTTGTCAGGACCATATTCTGGATCATATTCTGTCTTAGCACCCTACCCCAAAATGGATGTACACCCACAGTTCAGTTCACTGAAATCTGCCTTCAGCACCAACGTGCGGACTTAGTGTATCTCAGTGCAAATCCAGAATGATTTATTTAACTGCTGTTTTGTACTGGGAGGTGCAGGACCATTGTAATCCCAGCAAGAAAGACGCTCAGAGTCTGTAGAACATCATCTCGAATGTTATTTATTACAGCTAGCCCTATAAAGAAAGAGAATAGTGTAGGTAATCACGCATCTCTTCATGTGCTATAGACCCTAAGTTGTACAGCATCAAAGAGAGCTCTGTTGCACATGTGGTGTGCTGTGTAGACACGGCCTGTTAGAAAGGGTTACTCCACTTTGGCACTTGAGCTATTATTGGACTCTCTTACAGGAAAACAACTGTGTTCATCACTTCTACTGCCAAACAGAGAGGATGCTCACATGAGAACTTCCCGCTCTTTTAGGTAAAAGCAAGGACATGCAGGTGGCCTAATCACAGGTACCACGTGGGAGCTGTCTGCATGCTCACTGCTCTAGTCAGTTAGTTGTGGAGCTTATCCTGCAGCCATGCAATGTGCACATCCCAGGCCTGAAGGCAAAGCAGTATGTGAAGTGCAGCACAGCACCAGCTCACTCACATTAACTATTTTGGGGACCTCCGGCTCATTGGCGTGTAATGGCCTGGCCAGGAGCACTCCAACTGCTGTGTTAACGTCTCTATGTAAAACAAGTGTGCTGTCTGCTGTAAATCTACAAAAATATGACGTGAGAAACTGAAAAATATTAACTTTTATGTGTGAACACATCCATCAGTAGGCACTTATTTATAGGAGAAAAATAACAATGTTGTGAAGAAAGTAGAACTGTTTTGTGACAGTATGCTGCCTGAAGGCTCTACTTTGAAAATGTACATTCCTCCTACATATTCAGCCATTTAACCAACATTGCATGCTTCCACTCTTGTTCGTGTGTGTGTGCTTTCTTCTTTCTTTTTAAAAATAACTCATGAGTTTGGACATAGCTTGGGAAGTAACTTCCTCATCTTTTGCTGAAATCAGCTAGCTGGCTTTGGAGCTCATCCTGAACGTGGTTTGTTTTTAACAGTTTGACCAGGAAGATAGATTGTGAGGATGTTGGGACACACTGTAAAACTTTCCTTTATTTTTTTTTTTTTCTGGCAAACCTTCCTTTGCTACTGTGAGCAGACTACTGTTTGCAGCAGCTGTAAAGCCAGCAACAGCTAGTGGAAGATCCTGCTGGACCTTTGTTCAGTTGGATTTCACATGGAAAACACATGTATATCAGAGCATTATATAGAGCATATAAGACAGAAGCCCAGACTCAAAGTGACAGTCGCATAATATTTACTGCATTCTTCCTTTAGTAACAGAAGAATGCTGCTATTCTGTGAATTTGTGCAAGATCAGGTGTATTACACCTTCTATGATAGCAATGTTAGTTATTATGTTGTCCGTACCTCTTTTTTGCACTTTTTGCACATGGTTATTTATTGATCTGTATCAGAATTATTTAAAAAATATATATTTAACAGTTTTATGTGACCTGTATTATGAGGTATATTTTGTAGTGTCCACCTTTATAAGTTGTCCATTTTGTTATTTCCTTTACCCCCCACTTCACAGTGTTTTTTTTTTTTTAAAGGTGGTCTCACTGGGCAGCATTTGCCCTTTGATGTATAGTAATTAATAAAGAAATATACTAGTTGCAAAGGAAGACAGGAAAGTCCTTAGTTTTCTTCACAGTGTCAGACTGAGTTAACCTTGATAATGAGCTGTAGTTAAACTCTTAGCGAATATTGGAGTTCAAGGGTGACAAAGCACATACCACATAGAGGTGGAATTGATCCTCCAGAGGTAAAGTTCTTTAGAGCATTATTTTGTGTCTTCTGTGTCTCTGGACTGCCCTTAGAAATGCCTTTGCTGTTCACTCCTAATCAAAAGTCTGAGGTTTGAAGATGTGATACAGGCAATGTGTAGCAGCTGTTTTTGATGAAAACGTGTTTATCCCCACCTGCAGCAGTAATTAGAGTATTGGTTCCTAAGCTAGCTAGTAGGAAGTTGGTAAAAGAGGAAGAGCTACTGCAGAAGTCCAAAGGACTTGCTTCTTTCCATTTCATCAGCACTTACAGCTGATTTGAAGGGGGTTAAAAAAAAAAAAAAGTTTTCACCTGAGCTGCTGTATTAATTGTATGTTATTGGCGGGTGCTTCTTTTTGTACTTCTCAACTGTGCAAAATCTTAAACCTATGCATTGTGAAGGAGAAGAGAGTAAAAAGGAAGAGGAAGAAAAAGAGCTCCTTTTTCTAGTATCTTCTATATCTGTAAAGCTATAAATCTGCTTCATACCGCTAAAAGTTGCAAAGACCTTGCTTCAGCTTTATTCCAGTGTAACAACAAAAGTATTGTCATTAACTTTATGGTATTACTTGTCTATTTTTGCATTAAAAAGTTTGTTTTTCTTTTTTTCTTTTTTTCCCCCCAATCTATGGAATTGTTGCAGAAACTCTGCTTTTTCTTTTTCAGGCAAAAATGTCTGCAGCATGTGACTTTCTTACACTCTGCACTGGGCAGAAGATGCCTCTCATAGGACTGGGAACCTGGAAGAGTGAACCTGGCCAGGTAAGTAAGGAGCAAGCCATCCTTCCACCTTCGGTGCTCTCGCCTAGTATTTGCATTTTGTAAGCCTTTTCTGAAGATCCTTGATCTAAGATTTGTCTGGATCCACTTGCATGGATTTGGGCTTAGGCCCACAGAAGCGTGACTGAGGCTTAAGACAAAAGCAGCAGCAGCCACAGATCACCTAGGACTCGTTAACCCAGGCCTCAGGCAATGGTGCTCTGGGAGAGGAATCCATAAAGATGCCAATTAGTGAGGTGAAGAGCTCAGACAGTGAAAACGGTGTTATTATTTTGCACATGACTTCCACTGGGTAATCCCCAGGCTGCCAGTCTGACCAGGCATCTTTCTGGTTTGAGTTGATGACTTAGCTGAAAGGATTATTTTGGGAGGCAAGAGCTCTAGTTGTAATAAGTCCTGTTCCTCTGGTTGGCCTGTGTTTAGCAGAGAAACTAAGAACTTGAGTTTACCTTTCTTTTAGACTGGAATGCCTAATGTGTCATTGGAGATTCACTCTGATTATAAATGTTACGCATTGGCAAATGACTACGAAACAATTCTGCATTTTACTACAGACTGTGGGAATATTTGCATACTATGGACTGTGCCTCCTATTTTAATACTTGCCCCCTTGTCTATCTTTTCCTTTCCCTTTTGTTTAGTTAAAAGATAAATTCCTGAGGGCAGAGATTGCCTTTCACAGCAGGTATATGCATTGACCAGCAGGAATATCCTCTTTTTGGTGGAATTCTTAATTGGTGTTCTTGTTTTAATGCCTTTTGGACTTTGTGTATTGCTGCATGTCAGTAAGTGTATATCTTGCTGCTATTCTGGTGTTAGCTTCATGATAGTTATGGGAGTAATTCAGATGAAATTGTGCTTGTGACCGAGAGGGGAAGTTTAAAAAAACCCTCTTAAGATGACCCTGTTCTTTCTTGTCAGATGGAAGAAAAGGTAGGAAATAAGCTATGCAAATAAAATGTATTCATTGTTATCTTCTTGTTAGACTTCCTTGTTGTCAGGACAGTAGATGTGTTGGGAACAGAAGCTATACTAATGTGGGAAGCTAAGCTGGTGTGAGAGCTCAGTCAACCTCGTAACTGAGGACAGGGGTGAATGTTTGGCTCTGTCAGTTGAAACCTCATCTGCCTGCTGAATTAGATTTATTAATGTGCAGGAACATAATGCATGAATTTCTGCAGACCCAAGGCAGTTTAATGTACGTTGTACTAAAATGCTTGAAATGAACAAACAAAATATCAATGCATTGTTTATTTTGTGCACTAGCCATCCTGAGGAAAGTGCAGTTTTATAACCTGGAAACCTATTTCAGATGGATTTTGCCATCGTCAGCAGCACTTCCAGCAACTGAACCCAGCATGGGTCTGTTATTTCAGATCTAGGTGGGGTCCCACAGAAGTCAATCTTGGCTGAACGCTTACTTTCTTTAAAGACAATGTTCCTTGAGTGTTTTGAAGACCTGATCTTGAAAAACAGCCAGCTTTACAGAAATTACTGCTATTCCCATGGAATAAATAAATTCCTATTTATCACTCTTCAAAATTGGTTGCATCTTTTGCATATTTTAATAGAGATTTATCAGATTCAGAGGCATAGTAGCACTTTGGCAGAGCATTCAAATATTTTACCCTTAAAAGGGCATAATGTAGTTCAGGGAGAATAACTGTAATTATGAATTAAAAGCCAGGGGCTGAAGACCTAGACAAGTGGAATAATAATTATTGAGCATGTTTAATGTAGCTGCTTCCCAAATACAGGCTATTTATCAAAAGCCCTTCCGTACAAGGGCTACATTAGAAGCAAGAGTAGAAGCAGATTGGTTTTAAATAATTTCAGGTAAATGCTTTGCAAGTTGTAGTTATTGTAGCCAGGCTATTCTTCAGTCTTGACCTTACTCTGAATAATTTCTTTATTATTGCCATTATTATTATTTCCAATCCTAAACAAGCCTTTGACTTGTAGCCAGATCTCAGCAGGCCAGCACAAAGGTGCCATTGCAGCTCTAGTTTCATGGGAGGTAAGGATAGAGGAAAAAAGAAATACTGAATCCGAACCCACGTTGGAAGGTAATTTAGGATAACGTGATGTTTTCTGCCTTACATGATCAAATGCTAGAAGATGAATTCGGTTTGCATGTTACCATAGGAACATGATGGAGGGCTATTGAGTGGGAGTGAATACAGTACAGAAGCTCATGAGCTGGTAGCATGAATGGGTTCAAAGACAAAAGTCCATTCAGACAACAGCATCAAGAGTATCAGTAGCATGGGCTTTTAGTGCTGGAGCTGTGATCCTTTAATGCTTTGTTCTCTTCTCTCAAGTGCGTCATGCTTTCAAACTGGAGGACTTATCCCCTTCAGATGAAACATGCAGGAAAGATGGAAAAGGAAATGTGTACCTCAGAAAACCAATCGGACTGTGTGCCTTGTGTTAGGACTGCATAGGACTCCTATGGAGGAGACTAAGTCATGAAAACTTAGCCAGGATTCTCTGGATTGTCCAACAATGTGAACAAAAATTCACTATTACTGGCCTATATTATGGGAAGAGCTTGAATTAAAGGCCTGAAGGATAGGAGGCAGGCTTCTTGTTTTAGGAACATTAACTGCAAGTTACCGTTTATATGGTGGTCTGAGTTCCTTCCTCTACAGCAAACTATTTTAGTGCATTATATAGAAGCTGCGATACAGCAACACGTGTTCTGGTCATACTGTATTTCCTGAGACTTCACTATAATGGAGAGTAAGGCTTCAGCTGCAATGCTATCTGTTTTGGGGCAAACCATTTCAAAAAAAGCATGAACTGATGAGACAGCAGCAACAATGATGCAAGTTCTGGTAAAGATGACTTGTGGTGAAAGATGGAAGCATCTCCATTAACCCAGAAGGCAGCTCAGCACCACACAGCTGTTTGCTCACTCACCCCACCCAGTGGGGTGGGGGAGAAAATCAGGGAGGGAAAAAAAAACTCAGGGATTGAGATAAAGACATCATTTTCCCTTCCTTTTCTTTCCTGCTAAACTAATAATAATAACTGGTTTTCTGTGTGTATATATATATACACGGTTACTCACCACCGGCTGACTGATGCCCAGACAGTCCCTAAGCAGAAGTTGCCCCAATCCCCAGCCAACCCTCCCCGTTTTCACTGTTCTACGTGGCACACACGCTATGGGACATCCCCCTGGCCAGCCTGGGCCAGCCGTCCCAGCTGTGTCCCCTTCTAGCTCCTTGGGCCCCCCCCGCCCCTCGCTGGCAGGGCGCTGTGAGAAGCTGGGAAAGCCTTGGCACTGTACAAGCACTGCTCTTCAACAACTGAAACATCAGTCTGGTATCAGCATTATTTTTCTCCTAAATTCAAAACACAGCACGTACCAGCCACTGTGAAGAAAATTAACTCTTTCCCAGCCAAAACCAGGAAGCTGATGACTGAATGTGTAAAAACCCTTTTCAAAGGGTTTTTGAATTTCATGTCTCTGAGGAATAGGATGTGGTATCAGGGCCTCGCATCTTGGTTAGACTTCTAAAAAGGCTTTGCACATAAAGGTATCTAAGCATTGGGGTAGACTGCCTGTTACTTATAGAAAAAAGATCTTGACAAATGTGTGTGGGAGTGGTTTAGACTTAATTGGCCTTGCTATGGGGCATGAGAATAGACTAAATGATTTCTGAAGATTCTTTCAGACCTACTTTCTCGAATTATATGATGCTAGGTTAATTATTTAAGTTGTCTGATTCAACTTGACCAATGGAAAATTAACTCAGTAATTGCTCCTTCCACAGCAGCATTGACAGGCCAAACTAAAGAATACATGGAAAATTTGAAGGATCCCTTGGCAGTTGTTACTATATAACACCAAATATTCCAAGGCATTCGAATCTCCAACAGCTTGTGTTGAGTCTTCCCTCCTCACCCCAGAAAATGCATGTACCTGTCCGAACGTAATGTCAAAAATACAACTCTCATTTGAAGCAAAGTACCCTAACAGGCAGATGTAAATATAAAGAGTTTTTTTTTTTGCCTCCAAGAAATTCTTATTTGCACATTTTGCCCTTGGTTATTTACATTTTGCATGGAACAGGGGTCTCTCAGTTCAAATTGGAATGTCTTAGGAGGCTGAGAGTAGTTTACACAGTAAAAATTTTGCCTGAATCTGAACCTTGTTTAAATGATCAGTCCTGTTTTTTCAGTGCTAGAAATATATGTAAGCACCCTGATAAACAAATATGGACTCTTATTTTATCACTTTGCAGAAATGTGTTTGGAGTGCCTTATCCCTATTTTTCTGCAAGTGATGCTTACTTCCATTTTATGGCAATTTTTGTGCATGTTTGGATTAGAAAGAACACCACAAAACTGATAGAGGAAATGGGAGATTAGTTCAGACAAACACCATGCTTGCTTTCCTTTCTTCGGCTATGCTTTAGAAATAAAGGAGAACGTGCTTCTGCTCCTCAACTGCCGCCTTTTTGGAGAGTGGATATTCAGCCTTAAAAACGTTTAATATGTCTCAGGTGATTCCACACTCACTATGACCTTGACTTCATAGCGACCTTCTGAGGAATGTCTTTTGTCAAAGTGAAACGAGGATTGTAAATACCATCCTGCTGTTGAAAGGAAGACCTTATTTCACTGTTGTAATAGAAGTGCTTTGTCATTCTGGCTAAGGGAAACTGGTCTGAGTTCCAGTTTTCCTTTCAAAATGCCAAAGAATGCAGTCAGAATATTCTGTGTCTGCTTTCGCTGTGGCTCTTGACAGGAAGAACAAATGAAATTCAGCAGCAGAAGAGACATCTCTTTCACTTTTGATTCCCTCTTTTTTCTGTCGCATCTGAAAGCAAGACTGTGCATGTCTTTAATTGGTGTTAATCATTTTGTCAGCTTTCAAATTGAAAATGCTGGTACTTAAGTTGAAAGAAATCAATCACTCTGTGGCCTTTGTTGACATGTTTTAATCTCTTAACAAGAGAGACATAATCTCCAAATAGATTAGGGCTTTATTGCATCAAACCTCAGACAAGGAGTAACTTAATCTCCCGAGGTCTCGTGAGACAAGTCAGTGAAGAGCAATGTATAGAAATCACTGCACAGAGATGTGCTCTGACTGTAGCACTTATGGACAAAGACTGTGCCCACTGACCACTGGAAGTTAAATGAAATGGATTTTACTTGATGCCCAACCACCTAATGGAAGGTGGTGATGCTGAAGTCTGGCAATTTCTTTGTTCTTATACAGTCAGTTACGCTAAATCTTTATTCAAAAGCCACTTAAGAATTCTGTGTTTCCCTCATTGGTTTCTAGACTTGCCCCATGTCTAATGTCACCATGTAGCTGTATGTGCTGTGTGTGTGCTTCAGTAGAGTTTTCAAAATCAGAAACAGATGCAAAGTATAGTGCCTTGGTTCCCAGCTGTTCTGGCTTGTTTAACAGTATGGAGTGAGGGATGTTTGCTGTTGGTGGTGCCTTCTTTGTCTGAAATGTGGGAAGCAAAATACGAAATTGTGAGCATCATCAGGAGATCCCCAGCAGGCTGTGGGTTAATAATCACCAGTGGAATGACTTCCTTGTCACTATACCGCTGCTGTTGTGCAATCAGGGAGAATAAGATGTGAAGGAAAAATGTGCCATAAAGTATCCTTATCATAAAAATGTAACATGAACAGTTGAACCAAACATGAACTCTGGCAAGTATGGCATTAGAAACTTGGCTTTTGTTTTACTGGGGGAGAGGTTGTGTCTTCCAGGCTTGGCTAACATTGATTGATTGGACAGTTCCACTAAATTTGTCTCCCTAAAACATGATTTATTTCTTACAGCTCATCTTATATTTAAGAAAAGCACAGCAATTGTAGTTAAAAAGGAATTTCCATTCTGTGTAGTGAGTTCTTGCATACTTGGCCTGTGTGCAGGGTCTGTTTTCATGTTAACCTTAGAGTATCTGCTAGCACTTAGCTCTTTGCTCTTTAAGACCGTGCAACAAAGGACTGTTTTCTACTCTTCTTGGGTATCCTGACCTTATCTAAGTCTGTATTATCTAAGTCTGTACTTTGGCAGTATTCCTCGTTAAGCACGTAGCAATTTTCTCAGTTGTCTCCACTGATTTCATTGTGTAATCTGTTTCTGACTACAGGTGAAAGAAGCAGTGAAATATGCCCTAAGTGTGGGTTATCGCCACGTGGATTGTGCAGCAGCTTACAGCAACGAAGCTGAGATCGGTGAGGCTTTCCAGGAGAGCGTTGGACCCAACAAGGTAAAAACACAAGAACTGCCATGCGAACTGTATCTTGCAGCAGAATTTACAACTGCGACCTGAAAGTGGGCTGTAAATTAACATATGGTTTTCCCTTCTATCTATCCCAGCTGTTTACTATTAATCAGGACCAGGCATGAAAGAGGGCTTTCTCTCCTCAAGATTGTCTGGAACACTTGTGTGGAAGCTACAGAAAATGCTTTTTTTTTTTTTTTTTTTTTTTTTTTGAATTCCATCTTAAAAATCCCCCAGCCAATACGCCAATATCCCACCACTTTGGGTCTTCAAAAGTTAGAGGTTGCAAGAGTCACTAGTTATAATGGAAAATATATTCTATGACTTATATAAAAATTACTCTAGTTTGCAAGTCTAGAATGGTCTGCAGTGTTGGGTACCCACAACAAAATCAGCAACTGTATATTTTTTTCAGTGATAGATCAGATGTACGAGTGAGTGAATAAATGTATATTATTTTTTTAACAGCGATTGAATTTGAAGGTTTGGTAACTGTGACTATAGGGTTTGCACTGACAGTTCATGGCCTTAATGTAACATAACAGAAAATTCCTGTGGATGACCTCAGGTGTAATCTTAAATTCATCCCCTTGTTCTTGTTGGCCCAAGGGGCCAGAAGAATTATGTGTATGGCCTCTGAGCCCCTGGGAAGAAAGATCACATGTTCCTGCTTTTCTGCTCTCCTCCCCTTTGCTGTAGGGTGATCTCTTTGTTATGTGATTAGCTCCAGAGAGGCTGTTTTCAGCTCGCCCCAGGGATTCTCTCACACTGCTTAGCTACTGGCAACTAATATGGGGAAGCATAGGACTATTTTTATTCATCTTGTGTTGGCTAACTAACTTAAAACAAGATTTTTTTTAGAACATTTTTCTCTTTGAACACAACAACTAGTATGTGAAACGCAAATAACTGAATGGCTGGAGAAATTAATCATTCCAGCTTGTAGAATTGAGTGAAATTTGGTACTGCATAGGTACAATGAGAATTGCCTTCTGATGCTGTTCTGTGCTTCAGCATGCCAAGTATGATCTCTTTCTGGGTCTTACCCTTCCAATGCATGATGCTCAATTCTTAATGCATTCCTCCCAGAACTTAGAAATTCAAGTGCAGAGTTTTGGTGAAGCTTCTTTGGTTTATTTTCCTGCATTCTTTCTATGAGAAACATTCTTAGTTTATAACATGTGATGAGTGTAGTAAGTTAGCTGGTTGTACCTTGACAGAAATTGCAAAAGTAATAATTTAATTGGCCCTATTACACTTAGAAGTGGCTTTAATCCTGGCGTTAGAGTTTGGAAAAGTGGTGGGTTTTGGTTTTTGCTTATTATTTTTTTATTCCCCAAAGTTTCTAGGGACTTGCTAAGTTTTTGGTGTGCGTTAGGATAGGTCAATGCAAGTGTGTATTTATCTTGCAGTTCTCCATCCCACACGTTTTTGGAAGGTTTAATTTGTAGGTTCCGTGTGTTAACTTTTAAAAAAAAAAACTTGAATTTTCTTTGTTTTAAAGCTAGACGGGGAATTGCAGCAGTTTTATTTCTGAGCTTGGTCCAGTAAATTGTGCTCTTCTTCTTTTCTTAAAGGTTGTTAAAAGGGAGGACCTGTTTGTAACATCAAAGCTCTGGAACACCAAGCACCACCCAGAAGATGTAGAGCCAGCATTAAGGAAAACACTTGGAGATTTGAAACTGGATTATTTGGACCTGTACCTCATGCACTGGCCTCATGCCTTTGAGTAAGTGCTATATGGAAAGGGCACAGAATGCAGAAACCCCGGTTTTACGTCAGTGGCTGGTTCTGTGTCCTGAGGAGCTTCTTTTTGAGCTGTGAATTTCTTTCCATGTAAACTGCCTGAAAGATATTTTTAAGAGTGATTTATAGCACAGTCCTACAGGCTGTGCTATAGACACTTCCCTACTTGTAACCTGTACATCCATTTGTATGTGGTGGATACATTCACAGACACAGATGTTCCCATTTAATTCTTCTTTGAATTGGCTCAGAATTTATTTAGATTCGTAGAAGATATGGAAACAGTAGAGGAGACAATTTCTGGTACTATACAGAGATTATAAATAGAAAAGGGATAATTACTGTTATTATATAGAAGTCATGAGGCTGCAAAAATGGGTATGAAGTCTTAATTTAAAATCCTTAGATAGCTGCTGATTTTTTTTTTTTTTTTAATAGTGAAAACAATTTGGTAATGAAATTAGGATCACTAAATGCACGACAGTTTGGCATGGGTGCCAAAGTTAGGTAACTGAAAGTAGTGTGACTGGGAGAAAGTAAACAAGCTTTATTGAGTGAGTTTCTCTACTGAGGCTTGTCACCGTATAGTAGCTGAAAACTTGTCTTGCTGTGAGGTAAAATCTTTGTCAAGTTCAATATGCATCAGAAGCTTAAAAGAAGTTTAGCCTATTCACCTCAGCACTGGGAAAATGTGCTGTTATTCTTCGTTCTGCCATAGAAGTACTTGGTAATCTTGGAGAAAGATCTTGGAGAAATCCTGTTGTTACTTTGTGCCTTGATAAGTTGTACTTATCTGTAAAATGAAAATCAAGTGCTTCGTAAAAAAGATAACACTTTTCACTAATAGTTAAAAGCTGCTGGAGTGGTCAAGCACATACGGTATTGCATTGGTGTCTGTATGAAAAGGAAATGATGATGATCTCATGACACTTCAGTTGCAGTAAATCTAAGGTTTGAGGAAATATGGGAAGAGAGAGTTCTCCAGTTAAATGCTAGATTTATTTATCCTACCTCCCTATCAGAGGCGGAGTTACGTAGTTTATCATAGCTGTGGAAGTTCTTTTTCCTGCTTAAGCAATCAGCAAAAAGAGGAGGAAAAAAAAATCTCCTGACCAGCTGTTTGCATGGACACTTCACTAAACAGGGGAAAGCCCATCAGATTCAGAGGGGCTTCAGCCCATTCTACAAATGAGAACACTTTTTCCCTTCTAGTCATCTGAACTGAATTTTGCAAAGCATACGACACTGGTATGAAAGTCAGTCAAATTCTGTGTCCCTCAATGTAACAGAATGAGGAAGTGTTTTCAGCTAGGGCCAGTTTGCAGGAAGAACTTCTGTTAAAAATCCCCCCTGTTTTGAAATAGATTTGCTTTTCAGTTGGTTCAGGGTGGGGGGGAAACACAACATTTAAACATTGCTTTGATAATAACACGGAACACAAACAATGATGTATATTTAGTTATGATTATTATTTAAGCTGCTCCTTGTTGTGGAAAATGTTGACGAAACTGAAGTTACAATCTCCATGCTTTCTCACTGGAAACAGTTCACTCCTAGTGTTCTATCAGCTCTCCTTTAACTGTTCTAGTGCCTGATTACCCACAGTGCCTGCAGTGTTTTGGGAAGCTAATCAGAAGAATGTTATTTAAATAGAAATTAAATTAGATTTCCAGATGAAAATCACAGTGACCCTAAGTCTTGTATATTAAGCAAGGGATTAATTTTCTGCTCTTGACACATGAGGCTGCTTTTCAGAGTTGGGAGCTCACTCATAACATTTTTGAAGTTATTGATAGATCTAGGACCAAAAATGACGTGCATAAGAGCTATGTCCCCAGCTGCTGTTATCTTGCACAGCATTTACTGCTTAGTTAGAGGAATGTCAGCCAGTCTCAGAGAACTGGGTTAGCCATGTCCCGCAGTGGTTACGAAGCAGCACTCATCCAGTGAGATCACTGGAACCCCTCCAAGCATGGACTGCTCGGAGACTGCTCGTAGCCCTTGGGTAGTGTGGTGGTGCCACCTGACATAACCAGGTTCTTCCTCTGTGTGGTTTTGGTTGGTTTCTTTTGTTTGTATTTTATTTTATTTTTAAATGGGTTGGTATGACTAACTGGAAACACACCCAACCTACAAGCAACATGTGCATGTTTAGACTTCTCTGAGAATCTTTGCTTGCACCCAGTGCTGACTCTGCTAGAGAGTGGGAAACCCAGACTACTTTGAATGCTGTGCCTGCTAGATAGCTCTTAAACCAAGGTCCCATTGGTAAAAGCTCCAAACAGACCATCAGTCCTCCCTCAGAAACAAATTGAAAAACCAAAGCTGCCTTCTGAGTTGCTGTTCTCTAAATCAACTGTTTTGCTAGGATCAAAGTGCTGTTGTTGTATATACAATGGGTGATCAGCTTTAGGTAGTTGCAGTAGGTAAGTAGCATGTTCAAGGTAGGTATAGCCCTGTAGGCAAGTAAGTTCCAGGCACTATTTAACAAGTTTACATAGGAAAGACTGTGTGTAAAATAATTTCTTGTAGCCTAAGTCTTCATAATAGAATTCAACAGGGAAATTAGCTCAGTTTGTTCTCTAGCTTACAAACTATGCATAAGCTTTTAAGAATACTTCACTAAAATAAACTTTCTTTGAAGAACTGCTGTAATAGAAATCATGTGACATATATACTTACACTTTGCCTTTCTTTGACGCTGTAGACGAGGGGACAATCTCTTCCCAAAGAATCCTGATGGAACAATGCGGTATGATTACACCGATTACAAGGATACCTGGAAGGCTATGGAGAAGCTGGTGGAAAAAGGTCTTGCAAAAGCCATTGGGCTGTCAAACTTCAACAGTCGTCAGATTGATGATATATTAAGTGTGGCTACTGTCAAACCAGCTGTGCTCCAGGTAAGACAAATAAAGGAGAGGAGGAGGAATCCTCTTCCTGTTTGTCCATAGGAGTGAAGAATGTGCAAACCAATGCTACATGTTTAGCACAAGGAGTCTAGCTTCTGCTGTACAGAGAGAAGTATAGCCCTGTCTATGGGAGTGGGTACACAGGATGTCTTTCCGGACAGATGAATTCATTGGGGAATTCTATATCCATGTTTTGCAGCCCCTTACACCTAGTCAATGCTTTTCTGTAATAGAGTTTGTCTTCCCTGAGAAGCACAATTTAGTTTACAAGGGAAAAAAAAGATATCAAGAGGGACTAACTTAAATCCTTCCTATAAAGAGCTTTCTTGCTTGTTGGATGATTTGTTGGACACATGAAGAAAATCCAGCACTCTAAACATAAGCAAATTGTTTTCTATAATTTTAGCCTACCGGCCAGTTTTTCATTCATACGCTATAGCTTCATACACTATACGCTATAGCTTCATACAGTTTTCCAAAAACTGGAATGACCTCTCTTGACGTGCTTGATTCTGCCTTTTTTGTTATTATGCTTTTGACCTCCTGTTTGTTTAGAGTTTTGTGCTTGATAATTTTTTCTCTGGCCATTCATTGTGGGTCATTTTAATAGGTAGAATGTCATCCGTACCTAGCTCAGAATGAGCTGATAGCTCACTGCCAGAAAAAAGGACTGGTCGTTACTGCCTACAGTCCCCTGGGTTCACCAGATCGCATGTGGAAACATCCAGATGAGCCTGTGCTTCTAGAGGAACCTGGGATCAAGAAACTGGCAGAAAAATACAGCAAGTCACCTGCCCAGATCATCCTCAGGTACAGAACAACTGAGGGAGGTGGCATTTGGGACCTGGCCTTAAATAAAGCAAAACACACAAGTTTGAAGGGATTTACTTGGGGTGTGTGTTTTTTCCCCACATCAGTGGGGATTCTTGTGCTGCCAGCACAGAAAGTTTTTCTCTTCCCTTTCAACAGATGGCAAGTGCAGCGTAAAGTGGTTACCATTCCCAAGAGCGTCACTCCTGCTCGCATTCTGCAGAATGTCCAGGTAAGTTTAGATGGAGGACAGGAGTTTCAGCAATGCCCTTTCACGTGAGTAATATGCTGTCCCACTGCAACGATCTGAGGCGCTTGGTTCATGCTTGTTTGCCAATGTATGCATGCACTCAGAAAGGAAAGAAAAGATTTTTTGGAAAACAAAAGAGCTTCTGGCAACTGTGTGCACATGTATGGCCTTGTTAGCAAAAGGGAAAAAATGTTCTTTATAGGAGTTTAAGTGAAAAGGAGTTTATATGAAAAATCTTTACTGAAATTTAATAGAAAATTTATTGAACAAGTGAGTCTTTTAATGATATTTAATAATTCTTATTTATGAATAACAGATTCAGGAAAGAATGATTGCTCTCCTGTTGTTTTGTCTTGTAAGTGAGGCCTGGTAACTATTTCTGCAGCAAACTGCCATCCTAATGATGCTGAAGGATTACTGTGATTTGCACCTGCCCTAAAGTAAAGGCAGTTACCCTCACAAATTATGTGAAAACTGACTTGAAATAATTTTATGAGTCTCTGAATCACCTTTCAGGCTTTTTTTTTCCCCAGCAGTATCAGTGAAGACTTAGAACTGGCAATTGTATGAACACCTCAGGCTTTAAGCCTTTGTGTCAGTGTTTCCTGTAAAATGGGTTTAATTGCAACTTCATATTTATAAACAGAAGACAAACTAATGCTGTTGCAAGTCAAGATTTTTACAGATGCCTAACTTCCATTGTTCAGAGTTGTATGGAAATCCCCACTGAGGCTGGGACTTACCAAATTGAAGATTACAAAGATTTTTAAAATACTGCAACTAGCAATACATTTATTTTTATTTGGGTTTCAACGCTAGGATCTAGCAATTCTAATATGGCACGCAGATTTTCTTGTTTTTTAAAACACCTCTTGGAGATGTTGACTTATAAAGGAAATAAAGCCAAGAGGCAGAATTCAACAGAATTAAATAATAAATAATAATAATAATAATAAACACAACTATGGTTATTAAACCAAGGCTCTTGCTTTTGTTTCTAGGTGTTTGATTTCAGCCTCACAGAGGAGGAGATGAGCCACATTGGAAGCCTGAACAAAAACTGGCGTTACATTGTGCCAATGATTACGGTAAATTTCTCATATTTCTAATAGTTCTGATTGTGTGAATGTGACCACATCTTGGGGTTTCTGTGGTTTTCATTTTCTCTTGCTGTCCCTGTCAGAACTACTTATGAGTAAGAGCGCTACAACTTTTCAGGGTGTCTAAGCTGAAAGAATCTTTCAAAAGTTGGATACAGGTAGCTTTTTGAAATCTTTTTTCTTCTGTTGATTCTCATGGGTCCTCATTATGGATCTGCCCATGGGCCTTTAACCAGAGTCCAACCTGCATCCAACCTCATCAAACTCCTGCTGATCTGTTCCTCTTGAGTACGAGCAGGCTAAGGTCTGTGCTATTTCTCTCCAGAAGTTCTCCTTGTTCCACCTGTTCCCTTCTGCTTTTTTACCATAAACCTCTAGGTTCACAGAAAACTCAAGGCGCTATTAGCTCTCTGCTTCTGTCAGAAGCCATGTGAGGGAATTTGCCCACTTCATTCCACCAGACGTCCCCTTTCAGCATCTGTTGTAACAGTTTTCCTCCACTGTAAGGAGTTGAATTTAGGTTGTTGTTTTTCTTTGCTAATCCCTTAGCTGCAGCATCTTATAGAATCATCAATTTCCTCTGTCACGTGAACCCTTACCTTGTGTGCTATTAAATGCTAGTCTGTTTTTAGAGAAACTCGTGCCTTAAAGGTTGTCATTTTAGGCTTTTTCTTACATTTTATTAAATAACCTAATCTTATTCCTTTCTCCTCACTTGAAGGAAAATAAAAAAGCCTTATTATCTCCTATTGTTACAGTGTTTCTCATTTCTTATATATCTATTTTCCTGCTTCTGTCTGTACAACAGAGAGCTGTTGACATTCCCTGGTGGGTCACTTACCAAAATATTGTATTTTGCAATATTTTTGCAATATAATGCATTTGAAGCGATTTGTCCCTTCTCTATCATACAGCATAGTGTGTAGTACAGGTCTCTGCAAATTTGGAATTTGCCTCTCCAGCAGTTTGCCTGTAAATTCTTCATTACCCAGTGCTACTGGTTAAGAATTCTTTGGAGAAAGCATTTCTCCAGGATTTCTTGTTGACGTTTCTAGACTACTTGAGAGCGGATCAGTGATCTAACAATTTGAAAAGAGAAATTGTGAGCCTGAGTGAACCATTGTTTTGTATCAAGGGGAGGTAGATACTTGTTACAGCCTTCTCTGTTCCCAGTGCTGGGTCTTGTGAAAGCTTCAAGGCCATGCTTTTAACTGTAAGGTTGCTTCAGTGTGTGCGTAAATATAACCCCTACATCCCTGCCATCAAAATTATCTCTTTGCTTATGCATCAGGAGTCTGTGCTTCAAACAGCCAGTTTGGCTGCTCTTGCATGTGAACGTGGTAGTGACAAGCACACCTGCTGCTGACTGTTTCAAGTGTTTTGCCACTTGTGCTGCAAACAAAGTTGTTTTGGTAGGAAAGCTGCAAAATACACTTAGAATGTAGCCAGGCTTGGGCTATCCAGGGATAATTCATGCGCTTTTGATACACGGGAGATGTGTTCTGATCAATGACTCACAAAGAAATGAAATACAGTTCAAAGCACTAGCCTGTCCAACTAGAAAAAGGTGTGAATGTGATGCAGCTGGGCTTCAAAGATATTGCCATATTGTCAGATAACAAGGCAGGAAGAAGCAAGATGAGGAGAATTAAAATGCGACTGTAGCTGTAATATCTCTGTGGAACCTTTTGTCTCCTGCCCGTCCCTTCTGGGCTTATCAGAAAGAATTTTCATCATCTGTAAATTAAAATTCCTGTCTAACCTTTCATGCCTATCTCCTCTATGAATCTAATTTATAGTGTCTGGATTTCAAAGTGTGATGTGGCAGCACTCCTATCATAACCGACGAGACAGATTTTCCTTGCTTTACCTTGCTTGTATATAACCAGAAGGTCTTGACAGTTGTGCCACTCTTCTCCACGCTGTCATTTTGCTCAAAGTCCAAGGTGAAGCTATTGCATATAGACGATTTAAGATGCTTTATATTTTTAACAGATCATTATCTGGGTAGAGGCTGGAAATTGTTCAACTGTACCATGTACCAGCCTGAAATTCGAACTTTTGGAAACATAATTGTTTAAAGAATATACTGCAGCAAAACTTGAATGACTAGCAAGCCAGGACAGGACTGATGGTGTTGTACACATGATCTCTTTCTTTTTTTCTTTTCTTTTTTTTTTTTTTCCGGACCAGCAGTAGCTAACTATCAATGTGTTCACTGCTGATTTGCCCCCCTTCCTCCTTCAGATTCCTGGGGTAGATTGGAAGCAGCTATGTGCAACATTGCTTCTGGCAGCTGCTGTTTTGACATGTTGCTAACAAGAATGCTTACCTGAAGAACTGTTTTTTGTAGGGAAAATATGCAGGGGAAAGAAATGGTGGTTGTGGTGAGAAATGTGAATTGTGGGAACTTGCAGTTGTTGGCTTTCAGGAAACTATGAGGAAATGTGAAGATACTGTGATAGTTTTGTCCACTGTTTTAAGGATTGCCTTCAGATAACAGCTTAATTTCAGCTTTTATTTTAATCTGAGCACCAAATACTAAACCTTAACATCTTAGTTTTCTGCTCTATAGTGCCCCCAAGTGACTGTTTTCACTCTACCCTAGTTCTCGTTGTAAAGTTGCTTTTAAATGCATGATTTATTCTGAAAGCTAATAGACTTGCTAGTGGATACTTGGTTTCAAAGTACCTGTGATTCCCTTTGCCCCCATAACAGTTTGAGTGATATCTAACATCACAGTGATACAAAAATCCTAAATGCATAAAAATCAATGATTCGCTTAACATTTGCTTATATTAAGCGCTTAATGACTGAGTAAAAGTTTTAGCCGAATGATGCTAGTTTGCCATCAGGGGAGGTTTTTCTTCTTGCTGATGCTGCATCTAAATTTCCTCAAACATTATAGGTTGCAGAACAAGGTTTTACCCCAGCTCCTAGTAAATGGGGGCGTTGCAGTAGACTTGATGCATCTAGGAATGCAGTTTATGCATGTGAATGCCTGGAGGTGGGCCGTAGGAACTGAGGCTTCTGCTTGGCTACATCTGCTTTTGGGCCATCAGGAGCTTTTGTTTAATTGTCAATGAATGTTAGTTTCAGTACTCCCATTTTACAGCTGGGGAAACTGGTTGGCCATGAAAGTGTTCTTAAACAAGAAGTTTGTTCTTAGCTCCTTCGTAGCACTTTTTGTTTCAGTGATGCTGTAAATGCTTCAGTGTATGGCCCTGAACAAATTACTACACTTGATTCATTATATCCATCCGTAAAATTGGCAGCCCAACAACTCTGTCATGGAAAGATGGGCAAAAGCGCTTACTTCTGCGAAGTGTTTTGAAGTGTGCATGTTGCAACATTTATTCAGTAATGGCTACAAGGCAAAAGGCTTAACTATTCTTAATTCAATTCTTAAAAGCCTAAGTAGCTGGAAGAAAGACTCTTGCTTTAGGCTACAAAAAAAAAAAAATCTTTTAAGAAGTACCAAGAGGACTTAGGGGTGGAGGGAACAGCTCTTGATTAAACTCAGGAAGATGCTCCCAGATGTTTGGGATATGAAGATTTACAAGTTGAAACCATGCAAAACTTGAAAAAGAGTACGAATGGGTCTGTATCTTTCTGACATGCATCTGTCTGTTTACTTCACAGGTGAATGGGAAGCCAGTACCAAGAGATGCTGGACACCCCCATTACCCCTTCAATGACCCCTATTAACTGCAAAATAAGGTGTTAGAATAATGTGCTCCTCTGCATACTTTTCCACAAAGTAATGAGTGCCATAATCTGTCAAAACTGTAAAACAAACAACAACAAAAAAAAGTCCAAATTAATCCTGCCCAGGAAGGAAGGTTTTCTTACAATGTACTGCTTTTAATTGACCTTCCTTCTGAAGGTCCTGTAGCTTCCCTATCAGAGTTTGCAGTCATTGTAATGAATCCACCAGCTTGCCTTGGGAAACATAACGTCTTTTGGCATTAGATAAAGAGTGGGAGATTCTAAATGAAATTCCACACATCGTTATCAGGCTAGGGCAATACTTTGTGTTTTCTGTCTGTTGAACGGTTTTGAAATCTTTATTACCATGATGGGGGGGGGGGGGAAAGGGGAAGGCATGAAAGCATTTTCAGACTAAACAACTACCCAGTTATCACCTTCAATATTTTCATTAATCTTTTATACAGGGAATTAAGTGAAATGTGCTACGGTTGCACTGTGTCTATAAAGTGTTCATTAAAACCCAAGTTATCATCCATGCTGAGTGCTTTTTATCCCCTTTGGAATACTCATGGGACTTAAACTCTCTCCTCTTTATTTTCTTTTTCTTTTAATTTCTGTTGATTTGAGGGGAATAAATGTGTAACCTGAAGCAGGCCTTCAGGGCAATCATTCCTGTTGCTTGTCACATGGATAGGTTCTAGCTCTGGAATATCTCTGATTATCCTCTCATAAAAGCCTGAATAACTTTTTAGCAAGTCCTTTAGAAATCCATCCTGCCTTTCCCATAAATTTCTCCAATGTGTCTTTACCAAAGATGTCCGGTTCAAGTTCTGGAACATCACAGATTTTGTTCTTGATAATACAATAAAAGAAAAACAAAACAAAACAAAGTGTCAGAGGGCCCCTTCCCTTTTAATGTCTCTTCTTGTTGACTGCTGTCTGGGCTGGCATATGGGAGAGCTGGTCCTGCTTCCCTTCCCACTGCTGACCTGCTGCTAACGCTGGACAAGGAATTTGCGTTTTCTGTGCCTCAACTTTCCTACTGGCCAAGTCTCTGTGTTACTCTGTGGCAGGACTAATTTACAGAGTGCTGATACACTATTGTGCAGGGCTGGAGCTCTACCACCAGCAGTTTTTATTTTGTTTCAGTCCTGTAATGAATTGTTACGCCATCAGAGCACCAAGAGCACGAAGTCTTAGTACATACCGGTGCTCCAACAGCGATACCATCTGTGGCCTTAGCAGCGTTATTTAATACTTTGTTTTGGGTTTCTCTACCTGTAAAATAGGGTGGATGCTCGCCTGCCTTGGTGCAGGCATGGCAGCAAGGGAAGGGTTTGTAAAGGGCTCTCAGAATTAAAACAAAGGGACTCTTTCAGATCTGCTGCCACTTGGAGATGGTTGCGGGCATGACTTCTGTTTTGCTGCTGGACAAAGAAAGCTTAATTGACCGTAAGTGAAATAAAGAGCAATTATTTGTTACGTTTCCCATAGCACTAACAAACAGAAGAATAATCCTCTGTATTCAGATAGCTCAAAAATGAAAGAATGAGATCGTTTTAGTTTGGATAACCTCTTTTACTCTAGGTCTGTGTTACAACCGTGTATCCACCTCAAGTGTAATGTCTCTGCAAGTGTTTTCTCTCCTGGGCCTTATGCTGTGCAGCCAGATGGAACAAGTTTGTTTATTGCTTGCTGTGATCTTTATGTGAAATGTGAAAAGTTTCTGTGCCTGCTGTTTCCTAACCCTGCTGGGTTCTGCTCAGCCCAGAAAGCCGTTACAGCAGGGTCAGGCCTCTACCCGACGGGCCATTTTCGCCCTGAGGGGAGCGCAGTCCGTGCTGTGCTTTCCCTGAGGTGATTTTATTCCTGAGGTAATTTCACTCGCAAGATGTCCGCCCCGCGGCCCGGACTACAATTCCCAGCACGCCCCGCGGCAGCCGGAACCCCGTTCCCTTCGCTCCTCCCCGCCTCGCTCCGCACTACACTTCCCAGCGGGCAGCGCGGCGCAGCGGCGGCAGCCGCCTCTCGGGACTACATTTCCCAGCGAGCCTCGCGCGCCGGCGCCCTGAGTGCCGGGCGGAGGGTGGGCGCGCGGCATGCTGGGAGCTGTAGTCCGGAGGCTGCGTGCGCGCGCCGCGAGGCGGGCCGGGGCGTGTCCTGGGAGGTATATAGGCGGCCGGAGGGGTAGGGGTCTGCACTCTGCCGCCGCCGCCCCTGTCTCCAGCAGCTTCTATGCAATCCTCGGCCGTCGCCGCCGCCCCTTGCGTCGAGCCCGCGTCGGCCTCCCCGACTAGGTAGGGCCGGCCCCGGGCCCGCTGCGCGCGTGCGGTGCGCCGGGAGGAGGGGGGGGGGGGCGGCGGGGGTGAGGGGGGCCGCTTCCCGTGCGCCTCACAGAGCAACGGGGGGGCTGGGGGCGGCGGGCGAGCTTCCTTGAGGCGGGGGGGGGGGGTGAGCGTGTGGCTTAGGGGGTGCTGGCTGGGCCCGGTGCCCCCTCACCTCCCCCTGTGTGCCCCCCCCCCCCCCCCCCGCGGGCGGTGGTACGTGCCGGCCCGCTCCGCCGCGGCCAGCTGGGCCCGCTCGGCTCGCGCCGAGGCACCACGTGACCCGCGCGCGGCCGCGGCCATCTTTGTTGGGGGCAGCCGACGCCGCTGAGCCTGCCCGGAGAGGGTCGGGGAAGGGGGGGGGGAGCGGTCACGTGGCGCGGGGCCGGCAGCCCGTGAGGAGCCGCCGGCGGGGTTTGGCGCCAAGGGCGGGGGCGGGGCGGCGGTGAGGCGGGAAGGGGCCATTGTCTGTGAGGGGACGGGCAGCGGCCCTGCTCTGGCGGCAATAAACAAATAAACAGCGATCAGAGCATGGTTTAGCGCAAATAAATGAGTGAGCAGCCCCCAGACTTGGGTTTAACGCGGATAAACAACTCTCGGTCTTTGATTTAGCACAAATAAACGGGTAAACAGCCCTCAGCCTTTGACTTAACACACGTAAATATGTAAACAACCCTCAGTCTGGGACTTAATGCATATAAATGAGTAAATAACGCTCAGTCTTCGACTTCATGCATATAAATACATCAGTAAATAACCCTCAATCTTCGACTTAACGCATGCAAATAACCCTCAGTCTCTGACCTAACACACGTAAATAAATAACCCTCATTCTCTTATCTAAATAAATAACACACACAAATAAATAACCCTCGCTCTCTGACTTAACGCTTAAATAAATCGATAACTAACCCCCACACCTTGTCGCTCTCCCCAAAACGCTGAGGGGTGGCGGCGGTGTCTGGGCACCGCTATGGCCCCCGGCCTCACACCTCAGCCCCGCTGTGGCGATGCTGACGCCCCGCTCCTCCTGTCCCTTGCAGGATGGAAGAGGAACTGGCCGCCCCCTCCACCTCCGCCGACAAAGCAGACGGGTGAGTGAGGCTAAGGATGCTGCTGGCACCTTGAGAGGGAGGTCGTGGGTGTGTGGCTGTCCTTGTCCTGCTGCCCTGTGGGCATCTCCTCACGTCCCGCCGTGAGGTACAGGTGCCCTCTGCAGCACCCTGCTTGAGGGGTGCTGAGCCAAAACCAAGGTTCGCATCCATCTGTCTCCTCAGGTGCATCGTCAGAAGCCATAACCTGCACTTATTCTTCTCTTCTTGCAGCCGGCAAAGCCCTGTGCAGCACTGTTACACTGCTGTGCAGCCCCCTGGTATTGAGCCTCCTTTGCCATGCCTGTGTCTGACAGCCACTTCTTCCAGTATTTATTAGAATTAACCTATTTGTCCTTAACCATCAAAACCAGAAGGTGGTCCAGACTTCAAAATAAAATTACGGTGCTGCCAGTCACGTTAATGTCTGCAGCTCACTTAAACTGAGCTGCCTAGGTCTTGAGAGCTGGGTATGAATCCGACGTGTACTTTTCTCATTACTATGGAAACTAACAATCCTGCATCTGATTTTCTCCTAGTATGGATGTGGATGGAGAATCCAAGAAACTATTGGGTTTAGGACAGAAACACTTGGTAATGGGAAATATTCCAGCTGCTGTTAATGCGTTCCAGGAAGCTGCAAGCTTGCTGTAAGTAGTAAAATGTTTTGTGTGTTTTTGTAAGGGCTGGCTTTCAGGTTGACTACACTGACGTGGTTCATACGAGATTTAGGTTTTTACATTATGTATGTTGCTATATTTATAACACAACTGAGGAGAGTGCTTAGGTGTAGGACAATACTGTAGTTGCCGTGTAACTGGGACAGCTTTTATAATGATAATAATTGATAATGCAGTTCTCTAGGAAGGAAAAAGGATTTGATATTTTATTTTGCCTTACATAGTTCTGACGTAGCCTGTTAATGTGAAAATAAAGGAGTCGTGTAACTTGCCCGTTCTTTGCTAGTCTTGATCAGTCCCTGAGGGTGATAAGTCTTGCGTTTTTAGATTAACTTGCTTTGCTGGATGCTTCTGAGATACAGCTCTAAATAAGTGAGAGGGGCATCCATCCAATGTTCAAAAATGGAAGATGAGCTTAGGAAACTGATTCTTCTTGTCCAGGAATTCTTAGCTTTAAAGTTCAGTATCAAAACCTCCAAAAACCAGCAGAGGCAAATAATGCTTCATTACTTTTGTAGGGGTAAAAAATATGGTGAGACAGCGGATGAGTGTGCAGAAGCTTTTTTTTATTATGGAAAATCTCTCCTGGAGTTGGCAAGGTATGCTACCAGTTGCTCACGTACGGTGCCTGTCCTTAAATGTATGGTACACTTCCTTCAGGTGGTTTATAGCTGAACAGTAATGGGTGTGCATCTTTTCCGAAGAAATAGGAGTGACTGTCTTAAGAGGCTGTAAAACTCAATTTTGAGAGTGAAAAATGGTATCAGAAATAAAGCTTCTGGCAGAAAAACATTTCAAAGTAATATAGGTACTATGTGCTGTGGCTTGTTTGCTGTTATTTAAGCAATGCTTTGTAGTAGCTGCGTTTTTTTAGGAACCATTTGACAAATATCCATACTTCTCTGGAGGGAAATGTTATTTATGATGTTAGTAGGCTTATCTTCTAAGCACCTGTTACTGTCATGGAAGCATGCAGCGTGTCAGGCATCCAGAGCAGGAGTCTGGCTGGGGTAAAAGCTTTGTCCTCGTATAGGCAGGGTTGTGCTAGAGCCTCATGTGCAGAGTTATGCTGGGTGGAACGGGCCATGGTGTTGTAGCTTCCACAGTTAAAGAGGAGTAATAACAGGAGCCAAGGGATAACAACCTCTTATTCCCTTTAGAATGGAAAACGGTGTATTGGGAAATGCCTTAGAAGGGGTGCAGGTTGAAGAGGAAGGAGAGAAAGCTGAAGATGATTCCGCCTTACCGGCTGCTGATGGTATGTAAAGCTGTTGGTCGTGCCGTGGAGGTACCGAGCTGCATTTTCTTGTCTAAATGGTCCACGTGCTGAGTATTGGCATCCCAGGTAGTCAGAAGCATTTTGTTCAAACTCCTAGCAGCCAGAACGGACTTTTGTTCTTCTAATCTTGCTTAAAGATTGAACAAAACCTCCCAAACCTCTACGAGGAACTGACTGCATAAGCGTGTGTGAAGGGTCACCAGATGTCTGTGTCCTGAAGCACTGCGCTCAGGCTTCCTTGAGCTTCACAGTCAACTTGAACTGCTTCGTAACCTTGTGGCAGTACAGTGTCTGT